ACGAGAAGGCTGATACAATTTTGTGGATAGAAGAATATATAGTTTGCTATAGAAATAGCTAAAATATGATGGTTTTAGACAGAACCCATACTTTTTATATTTTTTGACTGGAGCGCGATAAAATAATTAACATAGGCAACTATAAATTAACAATAAAATATTTTTATGCTATGTAAGTAAATTTTTTTGCATTTTTTTCTTTATCTTGTTTATTTTTTATTCTTTTTCAATTATCTTTTGCAATTCTCACTTAATTTAAAAGAACAGAAATATATCGTCGTACTTCACTATTTTTTAATTGTGAAGTCCGATGATATATTTCTCTTGTTTGTATGAAAACATAGATCTCGTTGAATTTTCTTCTGCTCTTTAAAAATTTTTTTTTTATAAGAATCTGTTTTTATGATTTGATTTTTAAAATTTTAGAAGGTTTAAAACAACCTGATGTAACATTTTAAAAATTTAGCTTAAGATAGTTCTGATTTAAGGCGACGTCATATCTTTTTTATTCTTAAGTCATTTTTAACTAGTATAAAAAATTTCTTAACTTTTGTTTTCTTTTAAGAATACGGTAAGGAGGCAATTTTTTAAATATTACTGCACAAAAATAACATTCAAGATAGTTGGGCTACGTTTTAGTTTATTGGCAAAGAAATTAATAAATAAAAAGGAAACTAAGTTCTTGCTATTTCTCAAATACATAAGTATGTATTATTTAATAATTAATAATATGAATTTTATATATTATTATCAGATTCTGTAATATATTAAATACAAATACATTTTATTAATAACTAATCATTTTTATGCAGGTTCAATGAAAATAATATTGAATAAAAATTAAAAAAATATATATATATATTTACTTATATATTTTTCCTGTAAAATTTTTGATAATAAATGAATAAATAAAAAAATAAAGATTCATAAAAAAGAATTTCCTTTGTTATTTTGAACAAGAGAAGCTTTCATCTTATTAAATTTTTTTATATAAATAAAAACCTAGTTACATTTACTTTCTTTTTATAATTAAATTTTATTAATTTTTTGTTTGAATATTATTTTTTTAATATTGTTTCAATTTAATTTTCGTATAATTGTAAATATTTATATGTTTGTCATACATATATTCAAGTGCGTTATAAAACATGATGTAAGAATTTAAAGGCTAATTGAATAGATAATGAAGTAATATTATTTTTATTATAAGTATCATTATTTATTGAATACCTAGATATTGAAGTAACATTTTTAAAGTAAAAATTTTCTTAGTCACACACATTAAAAATATTGTGATATTTTTCTTCTTTATGTTGAACCAAATTGAAATTGTATTATTCTATTAATTCCTGTTGGTACTAATGTAAAATATGCACTAACCTTCTGTTATACCATTTTGTTGTTTTTATGTTTATACAAAATTTTATAAATACGAATTATTTTAATACTTTATCAATAATAATATCCCGTTAATGAAACTGTAAGTAGGGTTCAAATAATTATAAATTAAATAAAATTTTAATTATTTCAAAAATTTGAGTTGAATTTCAAACAAAAAATTATTAAAGTAAAAAAAAACAAGTTACAAACAAAGGCAAAATCAAATTAGAATAAACGCAAACAACATTCAAATATTTATTTTAAATTATCACACTAGAATTTCTTTTGGTTTTAAAAGAAATTTCTTTAACATTCATGTGAATGTTAATTCTAAAATATTTGATTAGGAAAAAAAGCAAAAAAACAAAAAAATACTAACTAATTAGTAAAAAATATATTTATGTATATATAAAAGAAAATTTAGTAAAACATGACTGATGTGAAAGAAATCACAGAATATAAAAATTTTAACATAGTATATAATTTATCTAAATCGTAAGTATCTTAATTTCAATTTTAATTTACAGTCGCATTTCAAATTTAATTAACGATAATCAGAGTTAAGACACTCTTGCTGGCTAAACACTTAACGCATCTATTGCGAAAGTGCATTTTCATGTTCATAACATAAACGAAAACTAAGGAAATGGCCAAACGACTTAACCTATTCAAACCAGCGACCTAAATCTGTCACTGCCCAAAAAGTTTCTAGAGTTAATATTTAGCACTCAACAGTAGTGACCTTGCGAATAATAAAGCTATTTCCTGCTATAGACATGTTGATTGATAAAAGCCTATAGCAAAAAAAATTACTGCATTCACAGATTGGTGCTCTCATTTCTGGTCTATCAATATGTACACATATAGATACTTTAAATCAAATCATCCAGCAGAGCTCAACTCTTGAATATAAATTTGTCAATTATCTGAAAACATTGATCGGGTCTTTGCCAAAGATGAGGAAAAAGAAAAACATGGTTCTCTCTTGTTCTGTTTATATTTTTTTATATGGTAGATGTGAATTTATTATGTTATATTGTAGATTTTGCTTCTTGATTTCTATATTTTTAACGGTTATACAAAGTTAGAATACAAATTGATCCTTAATATAAAAGTCCTAAGGACTATAATCAAAGAAACAAATGAGGATTTAAGTAGAGTTCAAGGAAAAAAACTGAACGAATACATATAAGACTTTTTTCAAACAAGAGAGATCGATAAAATGATTGAGGGAAATTTTGTACCGGATATTTTATTTATGTCAAACTAAATGATAAGTGAAATTTTTATATCTTGTACACTTTACATGAAGTAAATTTTATCAGCATGTCAAAACTTATTCGTTTCAGAAAATACAAAAAGAATAATGAATGGTTTTTAAAATACTATAAAAATATTTAATATTGAATGACTTTAATTTTGGAAAGAAGAAAGTGTAATTACATTTTATAAATCGTATAAAAATTTGTGCTAAAAAATATTATGTATGTACATATTTTTTTTTAATTAAATATAAATTGTTTTTTATTTTAATCGTTTACCCAATTATTTCATCAATCAAACATTTGCATTAATATATTATAATACTGATAGTATTATTAGCAAAACGAAAAATGTTTTAACATACAATAAAGTTATTCATATGTTTAAAACTAGTTTAATAACTCGTTCAATTCTTAACAGTTCATTGAAATGAGTTTCGGAATGTCTTTTCAAAATACAATTCTTAAATTAAAATTTTTGTCATCTACATACAATGTAAATATGTAATTGTAATAAAAAATATAAAAGGAAATAAAAAATATGGTAAGATAATTTTATTAAATTCATAAAAAAATTTCAATTTTAATATTATTGTTGTGAATGTTTAATACAAAAAAAAATTATTTTACATGAAAAATATTTTTCTAATAACTACAGTTTGATTATATGTAGTTACAATGAGAAGATTAAAAAAAATACTAGAAATTAAAATTCAAATAACTAAAATTAAAATTTAAATTTGGTTAGTCCTCTTATCCATAGAAATTTTTTTTTTCTAAACAAAAGTAATAAATTCATAGACATGCGAAAGAAATTTGGTTTTTAGATTAAAAATTTATAATTCAAATCCTTTTTAGTAATAATATAGATCATATAAACAGTTTCGTAGAATAAAATATTTCAATAGAAATGTACATACAAGTATGATTAAAAATCATAATATCAAAATAATAGATTTATATAAGAACATAAATAAATACTTAGTATTCAAACTTATGTACTTTACTTTTCTTCTGAAAAATAAAGAACATGAGGTTTTTCAATTGACTTAAAAAGTTTTAACATTACGAAAATTCTTATTGGTTAAAAAGAAGAGAGCTGAAGAGATTTCCACTCCTAAAAGAGGTGAAATTTAATTACTATTTTTCCCCCAAAAAAAACATTTCGAAAATTCATTTTTCTATTAAACGTTCACTTGAATTAATTTTGTTTTATAATTTTTTATGATATTTTATTAATGATACTCCAAAATATCATTATTGTTCCTAAACACGTTACATACATACTATTATGTATTTTGAATTCTTGAATTAAAAAGTAGCTATGTATTTTAAATTGTATCTTCATAATAATCGACGACTGCTTATTTAATAACATTACAGAAGAGAAATTTTTAAAGGATTTTTTTTATTTCATACACATTGTATATATGTATGTATTTATATAATAATTAAATAATTCATTTTTCTAATATTAATTATTTCGTTATTGAATATGATGTACAATAATTTCAACTAAATATATATATATATATACACTTAATAAATATATATATATACTTATATATATATATACATATATATACTTATATATATGCATATACATTTATATTTTATATATATATATATGTCATATACACTTATATATGTTTGTGCGATATATATATATATATATATATATATATATATATATATACATATTATATGCACATGTATATATATACACTATTATGCACATATATATATATATATATATATATAAATATATATATATATATATATAAATGCACATATGTATATAACTTATGCGTATTTGCAGACATTGAATATTATACACTACGCATACACAATATTTTCTGAAGTCTAAGCTTAAACATTTTGCTCTTATTTCATAAAGAATTTTATATTATGTATTTATAATTAGCTTGTTTTAACAATTTTTTGAGTTATATATGTATATATTTTTTTTAAATAATTTTGTAGTGACACAAGAAGGCCTTTTTTTATATAATGAATTTTTTCAACATTTTTAAAATATATTTCTGTATTATTTAATATTACTTTACATTAAATTAAACATATGAATGTAAAGTTTAATATTGTACATTATGAAGTATTGAAGAAACTGCAAGTAGATTTTCTTTTAAACGTGTAATAATTTTGTGATATACATATTTTATATTTGGATATTTATTCCACGCAAATTATATTCAAATATTTTATAATACATATGTTATATTGTATATATACATATGTCATATTTTTTTGATTGAGCAGAAATATGATATTTACAATCATATTTATTTGGTTTCGTTAGTTATACTATCGGCAATAAAAATTATGAGTCTAGCGTTAAACCAAATTATTATTAGATTTTGTAAAGTAAAATATTTTTTGTTAAGAATAAAAACATAAAATTTATTTCGAGAATTTATTACGAATAATTGAATAATTAGTGCTATTTAAAAACTGATTTTATTTTTCTTTAACAAATTTAAATTTTTTTAGGCCATTTTATTTGGCACACATAGGTAAATATTTGATTAATTAGTGTACGATTGAAAAAAGTATTAGTATTATAGAAAACAACTTAAATTATGGTGAATTTTTTTAATGTAATAATTATTGCCGATTACAAAAACTAATTAATATTTTCCAGAACAATTTTGATAATTAGCTAAATAGTTATTTGTTTTTATTTTTAATGTTCACAAATTTCACTTGTAATTTTGTTGGTATTGGTGCTGTTGGTTATTATTATTATAGCTATTACTACTATATTTCTTATTATCGTTATACTGATACCCAACACTGTTACTACTATTATTAATAGTAATAGAGGTATTATTACTATTACTATTATTAATTCCACTGTACAAATTTTGATTATGTGAATAGTTTCCTTTATTTTGAATTGGTTGTTGTTGCTGATAACGTTGTTGATGTTGAGATGTAGAATCACTGTCACTACTATTATCGTCACTGTCTTCATCATTCGAATCCCCAAAAAGTTGCATGTATTTTTGCATCTGAAAATGTTTTTTTTTTTTTTGTTTGCTTAATAAAAAAGGATCCATAAACAAATATTTTTATATGGATGTATATACTCATATATATATATATATATATATATATATATATACATATATTTAATTATATTATATACATAATATAGATATATATGTACGTAAATATTATTTATTATTTTAAATAGATTTTGAACTGAAAAGTTTCTCTAAATAACTATTTTAATAATTTTATTTCTTTTTGTTCAATCAATTTGTTCAATCATTCTATGAAAATTTCTGAAAAATTCGTATACAATATTTATGTTTATATATAAGTGAATAATAGTAATGTTTCAAAATATAAATACACACATGGTCGTATGTATGTATATGCATATAAAATATCAATTTGAAAAGCATTCTGCTTTTTTATATAATAAATATTTTATCAGTTCATTTTAACAAAAAATAAAAAAGGAAATGAGTTATAAAATTCAAATTAATTTATTTTAATTCAAAATTTTGTTGGCTATGTTTTTTTTTTATTTTTGAATATTAAACATCCATTAATATTAAAAATTAATGAAAGTCCATGGAAAACATTGTAGATTTTTTTGATATATGTATATATTTATATATATTATATATATGTATATATTACGCAGATATTTATGTATTTATGGATGAGTTTTAAAATATTACATAATAAATTTATAATTCTTTTCCGGAATTAATAATATATTTTACAATTATTACTTTTTTAATTTTTTAAAACATTTGAATGACTCAATATATTGAAAAATTAGCTTTGAAATTCAATATAACAAAATAAAATAAAGAAATAAATAGCAATTTTATGTGATTTATGAGGCACCAACATACCAAGCTTAAATATATATAAAAAAAAATGTATTATGATATTTAAAATTTAACAAATCAATCTTATTTTTCACTTTAATTTTTAAATTTTGGACAACACTATTTTTCGTATGATTTTATTAAGTTTAATTTTTTTAAATTGGAAATAATATAAAAGCTTTATTTTAAGAAATTTATTTATTCAATTTAATTCAAATATTTTTTAAATATATTATCGTAGAAAAGGAAATGTACGATAGGTGCAATAATACGTTTTACGCTTAGAATGTTGTGATCATATTTTTTTGTTTTGTTTTATAAATTAAGATTTGATTGTGTTATGAATCTATCATAAATTAATATATTAATATTTTCTACAGAGAACAAAAAATATTTATGTAAGTTTGCTCATTATATATTAAATTTCATAAATATTTTATATATGTAATTAAGTATTAATTAAATATTATATGTGTAAACCATTTGCCATGATGATGTAAATGCAACCTTTTATTTAAAAAAAATCCTTAGAGTATTAATATTTTATTACATAAGATGTATTTACTACTAAACAAAAATTAACTTTATTATAATCTTTAACTTTTTTGATATTTAAGTTTAATATATTTATTAATAAATTGTAATAATAGGTGTTGCATTTTTTTTTTTATAATGCAAATATATTTTTTTCATATTTTTGTATTTAAATTACCAAATTCTTTTTTTTTTTTTTGAAATATAGTATATATTATTCATAAATTATATATTCTTTTGTTTCTTTTTTTTATATCACCAAGTCCATTATAATTAAATTCAATTAAAATTCAATTAATAAATTAAAAAACTATTTTGTAACAAATAAAAATTTTGTTTTTAGTTTTTATCATGAGTTAACCCAAATTTCCTGAAACCAATACAATGATAATATAAGAAAAGAGAAATTAAATATAAAATATGATTTTTAATGTTAAAAAAAACTTGAATGATTTTTTTTTATTTAATTTGTTGTTCTTAGTTTTTTCTTAGTCTTATATTAAATATTAAAAGAAATCTGAGTAAAAAAAAAATAATAACAGCAAAATAATAATAAAAGTAACTAAAACTAGTAGAATAGACTAAAATTTAAAAAATAATGGTGTCTACTGTTAAAAGGGTAATACAATAAATAATAGGTTTTTGTATTTTTAAATTCACAAAATCTTTTCAATAATTCAAGTATAAGATCATTAATTTACACAAAATAAAAAAAAAAAAACGGAAAAAGAAAAAAATTTATTGGATGGCAGAGAATAAATGGAACTTTGAAAATTCTTCATGGTAAAACGAACTAGAAAATAAACGCATGCAATAATAAACATGCGAACTTCTAAAACATTAACGATGTCATCATTTAATAAAAAAATATTTAAAATCTTGTTAACACGAAATTTCCAATATTGATCATTTAACTTTAAAATCGAATATTATAAATATTTTAAATAAACTTGGAAAATTTATTTACGTTATCAACGGAAAACACCAAAATATATAAAATATTATCATGTGAAAGTGGTGAAAGTAAATTGAATTGAAAATAATCAGTGCTTTAGTACAAACTTGAAGAGTTTGTGAATCAATTCAAAAAACTTACAACATAATCAAAATTTGCTTTAGGAAAAATCAATAAGAACTTTTAATGCGTTTATTGTATATATTTCTTTGCAGACTTCATTATAAAAATTACAATTATTCCTTTCTTCAATTTTTGTTACAGTTATAATAAATATTTCGTATAAATGTACTTTTAATCTGAATTAGCATAAGTTAATTCAAAATTTTACGCTGGTTATAAAATATTTTTCTTACTTTTCGTTTTCTTTTAACTTTTTATTTTTCTTTTTATTTGGAAAACTTTTTTGTTTTATTTGTTATAGCAATAATTTTTCAAATGCTAATACAAATAAATAATTATAGTAACTAATAATTAATAATATTAAGAATAATATATAAACCAAAATAATAATATGTATGTATTCAGGAAAAATAAATTCCTGTTAGTTGATTAAAATATATATAGAAAATATACAAGCTAGTCAAAAATTAAACTTTTATAAAGTTTTATTTAATATTTCATTCGCAGCTCAGCAGAGGTGTGATCATCCTCAATATTAATGATATATTTGGATTTTATACAAAAAAAGTTTTATAAAATTAATTTAATTTTATAACTGTTCAGGAAATTTGGTAAAACGATATTTGATATTTGTTTCAATATTAACAGAATAACACGCATTTTGTAATAAGTTATAAAAATTATACAATATAATTAATTTGTAAATATAATTTTACGTACAGTAACCCAAATTTTTTAAAAATCCTAAAATTTTTATAGTAAATCTAGTAAAAGTCTGTATATTAAGTTCCAGAGAAAGTTTTCGTTGTTATTATTCTTCTTAAAATTCAAGAAATTTAAATTTACATACTTGAAATTTCAATTAGTAATTATTTTGTACTACTTAAAAAAAACTTTAATATCTATAGTGCACATCTAATATAAAGAATTCTTATAGGAACAAATTATATAGATATAATTTTTTGTGTAAGAAAAAACATAAATAAATTAAAATATGAAATAAAAGGAATATAAAAATACTTAAAACTTGACCTTCTTAGAAAAATATTTTTAATATACATACTGTTATTTGCAGAATTAGGGGATTTTATTCATCGAATATCATTTTGTAAAAATTTAATAATTACCATATAAATACAAGTATATTAAAAATTATCAATGCAACATTTGAACGAAAAATCTAAACTATTGTTTTTTTATGATATTTTTATGTGATGACATGTGTTATATTAAAGGCATATTAAATTTTTGTTCATGTAATATTATCAAATTTGATAACTAACTGCAAATAAAAATTCTCTTTATATTTACATATTTCAAATTAGATTTTAAAGTTAAATGGTTTTTGGCTTTGATTCAAAAATATTTACTTATTATAACAATATAACATGATATTATATTCTATTTAATACATATAGTACATATCGTACTGTTATGTTAAAATTTAAAGATCATAATTAGTTTTTGATAGATTTGAAAAATTATTTAGTTTTGAAATAATTTTAAATTAGTTTTTTGCGTTATTAAATCCAAATACGGAGAAAAAAATAAAATTGAAAAATTTAAATTATTAAAACTTTTAATAGATTTATGAAAAAAAAATATATGACCTTATTGTTTTTTGTCCTGAAATTAATATACAATTTTCAGCGTTGGAATCGCAATTCTAACGTTGTACAAATGCAAAAACTTCAGATTGTATTTATTGCAAATGCATGAAACCAGCTAATTAAATTTCTGTGCATTTATATTAAGTGACGTGTGTAAATTGGATTATGCATATATTTATTAAAGAAAACTTCAAATCTGCAAGATTGATTTCAGTAACAAAAACAAGATTAGCTGTTTGTTTACTATCTAGCTCAGATGTATAGCATTTCAAATGATTTCATTTTCAATTTTGTTTTCAAAAATGTTTATTTTTATTTTGTTTATTAGGACAAGAATTCACCCATGTTTCGTTAGTCGGGTCATCGACTAACTTGGGTAAAAAAAAACCTGCTACCTTACCTCAAATATGCATTTCTGGAAATTAATAACGTTGGGCCGAGGAATTTTTTTTAAAAGGAAAGAAAAAAGTTCTAGTTATTGAATTTTTAATGTAAATTTCCCTTGAAATTTCCTACAGTATTGTAAAATTTTTGTATATATTTAAATTTTAAAATTAAATGTAATTTTTATATAATTACTTTAGATTTCTAAGGCTCCAGAATTTCAAAAAAAGTTTTCAAATTTTTACTTCAGAAATTTGAAACAACTTTCTTATACCTGTTTGAATACCCTGAAAATCTTTATCAGTTTTGAGATTGTCTTCCATTAATTTTATTAGAATCTTAAATTGCTTAATACAAAAACTCCAATAATAAATATAAATATTAAGTGAGGAAAATTTTTAGTAGAAAATTAATTGATTATTTAACTTCGACGATGTTTCCACCTTATTTATACATTTGACCTTGGCCTATTGAATACAAATTTTCAGATTTAGTATTCTAGATATAGATGTATTGGTATTATTTTATACAAAATACATATAAAATACAACTGCCGGAATATGTTGAAAATGGATGCAAATGGAAATGCCCGGTATTGTTCTGGATTTATACTTTTTTCCCATATTAAAATATTTGTATCAAAATTGTTAAAAAACAAATTTCAATAAAACTTAAATTTTGAAATATAACGACTATCATTTCTTGTTTATACTTTATATTTATATAGAAAATTAGAGACGAATGTTTTTATACAAAACAAAAATTTAATTTCGAAATGACGTATGCGATTTCAATGACGAGTTTTTTTTTGAAATATCAATTTTCAGTTTTTAGTTTTTTTTTAAATTGAACAATACCGGGGATAGCATTGTTAATAATAAGGCCCTATATTTTTTTTAAAACAAATGTAATTTTTATTATAAGAAATTTAAAAAAAGGACCTATTTTAAACATTTATTTGCGAATAATTATATACTATCCGAAATTTCAATTTAAACAAACAAATAAACAACCAATTTAAAAAATTCGTATTTTTAATAAAGTAATACAAAATTTTAAAATAGAATTGTTTTTATGGGTTATTAGATATTTTTCTTTTTCCAAAAATGTAGTATCTACTTCTTAAATTAGTCTTTAAAATACTAAATGATTATCTACATTGAGATTAATTTAAAAAAATATATACAAACAAAATACGATATATATAAATATGTATATAAATGTATATATATACATGTAAATTATAATTTCTTATAACCATGTGCTTATATTATAAATACATAAAATAAATATATAAAAGTATATATAATGAATTTATACATCGTTTTATATTTATATACATGTATATATATATATATATATATATATATATATATATATATATATATATATATATATATATATATATATATATACGTATATATATATATGTGTATATATTATATATATATATTATGACTACATATATGTATTTTTTTGTATATTTATTATAACCAAATTTATTTAAGGCTACCAAACTTCATAAATATGTGCAAATGTTAATAAATTCAATATATAAAACCAATAAAAAATGCAGTATGATAGAAAATTGTTATAAAATAATGGAAAATGAAAAAAAAAATATAAGTATATTTTATTTATACTATTATTAAAAAATAAACAAACACCACGATAAAGCTTCTTTTGTTTTCATAATTTTAAAAATTTACATACCTTGCTAGAAGTAGATTTTGATGGCGCGGTTGATGTAGACATTCCACTACCACCATTACCACTACCTCCATTACTACTATGTTTATTTAGATCACTATTTCTTTTCCTTTCTTTGTCTTTATCTTTATCACGATCTTTCTTCTTACTACTACTGCTACTTGATCCAGTGATATTACTAGATATTGATAAATTATTTGAACCTAAGTTACCACCACAGTTTGAACTACTATGACCGGTTAAAGATGAATGTTGACTTGTCGTTACACTAATGCTATCATGACCGAATGAACCAATTTTATCTTTAGATATTTTAATTTTTAATGGCATTTGTGGCATTGATTGATTTGTAGCACCGATTTGGCCATCTAAATCATTATTTGAATTGATTTCTGTTTTAATTCTGTCTTTTGGAATTTTTATTTTCAATTGTCCTGGACTAACGTTAATAGCTTCTATAGGCGGTAAATTTAATTTGTCTTTGGGAATTTTTAATTTAACTGGTTCAGAGGGCTCATTAATATTTAAAGTTTTTTCACGATCCTTTTCCTTATCTTTATGCTTATCTTTATCTTTTTTGTGTTTTTTGCGTTCTTCTTTATCTTTAGATTTATCTTTTTCTTTGTGTTTATGTTTATCTTTCTTCTTTTTCTTTTCTGATTTGCATTTTGAATATTCATCAGATGGATGAGGTTGTGATTGCGATTGGGGTTGAACATGCTGCTGTGATTGAGGCAGTGATATTTGTTGTTGCTGTTGAGGTGGTGGTTGCTGTTGTTGTATCTGTGGTTGTAGTGTTACTTGTTGCTGATGTAAGTGTGGAGGTTGTGGTATTGTCGTAAATGGTTGATTAACTAATGCAACATTATTTACAACAGGCGTACTAACCGGAAATTGATTTGGTTCTTGTTTAATACTAACAAATGGCGCATTAAACGTTGATGTGTTCTTGAAATAGTTAACAAAATTAAAAAAATGTAGAAATATGATTACAAAATAAAACAAAAATTCTACATACATATAATATCAATGTATAATTTTTTCCCAATATATTATACATATATTCACTTTTTTAATTAAAACAAACTTACTTGAAGTAATTCTTGTGGTAAAGATTCCATTGGATTGATATTATACCCACTTTGAATGGGTGATAAAGTTGGTTCCGTTTTTATGAAAGTATTTGTGGTTATAACACTAGGAGTTGTTGCAATTGGTGATTCAGGTCTTTCTGTCTTTATAAGAGAAGGTTGCGAAGCATATTTATTTTCATTGCACAAGCTTTCTTTAAGTAGACTGCTGACTAAATCTGGATTAGTTTCTATTCCATTAATTGTGGACGGATATAATTTAGTTTTAGTTGCTTCTTGAATATTAATGCTATTCGAGGAATTGGACAACAAGTTATTTCCTGTTTGATTTGACGTTTGATCAAATAAAAATGACGCCGGTCTTACTTCCACAGTCGGATGATCAACTTTCCTTATTTTTGTTTCTCGTCCAGTATCTTCCTCAATTTTAACAGAGTTTGGTCTTTTAGGAGCATTATAATTAAAATCGGATAGCTGTGATGTCTGTGATTGGTTATTCGGTGGCCCATAATTTAAGTTTATCGGTGCAATTGTAGATGAATTTGATGATAACATATCATTTTTAATAAGTCGCTTATCTATCGTTTTTTGTTCCGATTGCATATGATGTGCTTCAAGTCTTTTTTCCTTTTTCGGCGTATTCGATCTTTTTTCTTTCTTAGGGCTATCCCGATTTATTTTATTGCTAAATATTTGTTTATTACTGCTACTATTAACATTATTAACTTGTTGGGATAACTGTTGTGAAAGTTGTTGCTGCTTCTCATTATAATCTGGGCTAAATATAGACAGAAATGGTTTATGTGATTGTGTTGGTATGGGAGGTTGCTGCACTTGATTTTGACTAGTTGAATACCTTGGAGGCGAACAAATATCCATATGATCGTTGCTTATTTGGGAGTTATTTTGGGTAAAAGATGCAGTAGAAGAGCTAATATTAGATGAATGAGAAAATGAGGAAGACTCTATAGATTGCTTTTGTTGGTGTTGTGACAATAGCGACTGTTGCTGGACGGACTGATCGAATTTATTTCCACTATTAAGATTACTGTTCACGTTGCTATTAGTATTACTGTTGTTATTAGCTCTATTGTTAGATTGTTGCTGATAATTAGATGGCGGAGGCAAGCCGCTTGCCATCTGACTTTGAACATAACCTTTTGCTTGATTTTGCTGTTGCTGTTGCAAAACGTTTCTTGTCATATCGAGCCCAACTGAAGGTTGTTGTTGAGAATAAACATTGCTGCTATTGCTGCTAAGAGAATTATGTTTAACAGGTATTTTAGAATCCCGTCCGCTGCTTGGATCCTTTAGCATATTTCTATTGGGGTCTATTGGATTTTTAGAAGATACAATCTTGTGATTAGATGTCATTTGTGAGTTCATTTGATTCGGTAAATTCACAGAGTTTGGGTTAACACGACTTTTATGATAATTCATATCATGCATTTGCGATGACAAATTTTGACGGCCAGACGATCCTAAGGTCATCGATTGCTGGGGTTGTAAGATAGGTGGAATCGTAGATATTTGCGACATTCCAGATCTGGCAGAACTGCTTGAGTTACTACCGCTGCTTTTGGATTGTGTCATTTGTTTATTGGTTTGATATTGGCTATTGGGATCATTGTTGATGCACGTTGGAACTATATGACCTTGCTGATGTGCTCGTTCTGCTCTTGGACGATTTGAATGATTTGCGGTATTGTTTGGATAAGGTTTGTTTGGTTGTTTATGATCTATATTGAAAATTTTAAAATGGCATTAAAAATGCTATACAAGTAATTTTTTATAATGCAATTATTTAAATTTAATTCTAAGTTTTCAATTTTTTAATATATTTAATAATATTTATTGAATATAAGTTTTAAACAAATTTGTTTAAATAAGTTTTAAACAAAAATTATTCATACAAAAAGCCCTCATATATAATAACCAATTGTGTATGAAAATTAAATTCCCTACATAGTAACATTAATTTACTCGTACAGTGCATATTGTTATTCTAACTTTTATTAACACTCATGTAATAAAGAATATCTAGAATTCAATATCTTAATATCACGATTTAAAACCGAAATTCTTTCATTAAAAGTTATATAAATTTAATATTCCATAGAGATCGAAGTTTTTTTCAACTTCAATTAAATAAAGGCAAGATAAAAATGCAAAACACTTTTTGTAATATAATGCTTCCAAAAATTAAAATTATAAATAACTTAGTTTTTAAACGTAAGAATTGTTTTTCTTTAGAGTCACAAATTGATTGGACGAATATATTTATGTATTGGAATAAGAAATTGTTACCTATTACGTCTGCTGCATTAGCATGTTTGGAATGATGGTGGTGATGATGATGGTGATGAGGATGTTGCACTCCAGCATGGTGAGACCTGTGGTGACTAGAATGAGATGCAGACGCAGTTTCTGGTCTTCGAGAAGATACAGAAGAGGAGGAAGATGATGATGATGATGAAGGTTGCGACTGTTGTTGTATTACTGTAGGAGGAACTTGATTAAGTTGTTGAGATGAACTGGAACCATTTGATGAATCAGACGCGTTTCGTGGAGGTTCAGGCTGGATGTAGATTAGAGTTAATATAATTCATAAAATATATTTGCATAAACAAAATTACAATTCTTGCACCCTGTGCAATAGCTTTCACCGAATTTAATTTAGATTTTAACCTAGCTGGACTTTTCTCATATATAGCTATGAATTCATTAGTTAACTGTTGCAACAGTTCCATTGTTACACTTTTGTCTACATAGTGAAACCAATGTTTTCCTTCTGTAGACTGGGGTATCTGAAATTCGAAATGTTATAACTTTTAATTAAAAATACAAAATTACAGTAAAAATTACCTCCCATCTTGACCACTTGCAAGCCAAATAAATACAAAAACAAGCTACAACTGTAGGTCGATACTGGAGACACATTGAGGTTAAATGCAAACTAAAAATTTTCATTAGTTTGTAAAGAAATTAAAAAATTTCATTTTTAACAGCTTTACCTATTTGAAGCTAAAAAATACGATGTTTGGGCCAGATCTTTGCAAGCTACAAGCGAAAATTCAATAAATTAATCAAACAAATTTTCTTTGACTTTCATTACCTTTTACTAAATGACACGTTTTAACAACATGAGTATGAGGATGATCAATAGCTACATCAAATCCTAAAGTTTGTAATAAAACATTTTCGTTAAATACTAAATCTTGGGCTTGTTCAGCATAAACTTCTGAGTTACTAGCGGGAGGTTCTTGATTCAAACATAAATGTGCTGCTTTTATAACATGTTCTAATTTTCGAGGTTGTTCTTCTACTTTTGCTGCTAAAAATAAACTTGCTGCTGCAATCCCATTCCGATGGAAGTGGGTGAATGAATGGAATGCGTAAAATCGATGCATATATACAATTGCTGTGTTTATACATAGTTGAGATCTAAAAAACAAAATATCAAATGTCAAACCAAAATAAATATAAATAATAAAAAGTTTAATATAGTAAAATGAAAATCCTGTTAATAGGTGTTTTCTATTTGTTTATGCCCACGTTGTTTATTATTGTTGGTGTACTTTGATTATGAAACCAGAATTACATGTTTTACTTACACTTGCAATCTTTGGCCCATTTCTTGAATTAAATACGCTGTCATTTGACGATATGATAACTCTTCATCAGCGTCGATACCTTGCCTTCTACTTGGTGAATTTGTTAATTGTTCAGCAGTAAAGTACCATCTGGAATCGCCTCCACCCAGTGAATTATTGTTGGTATTACTTCCACTGGTAGGATTGCTAGGACCCGCACTGGAATTGTTGTTCGTACTTGTGCTAGCCATTTTAAAGTTTACTACTTTAACAAAATGTAATGTCCACAAACAACGCAGAATACTTCGATTTTTGAAAATATACAAAAATATGAAAAAATATTTTTATATTAATAATTAGATATCTAATTTTTCTATCCTTTCTCTATATTGAGTTTATGTTTTGATTTTCACTTTCTTCTAAAGCGTAGTTTTTGACATATTTTATATGTATTAATTTTTTATCCTACACACGCACGCGCCTTTTTCAATTTTCTCACACAGTTTTAGTTTGTCAAATTTTTCGCGCACTTATAATAATATAAGCTCAAGTTTTTAGTTTTGTATTTTATTTCTTTTTGTTTTGATTTAAATTTTTATATCATATGACATACATCTGTATTAACTTTCCACAGAAAATGTGGATGTGTTAGTTATATAAAAAAAAAAAAAAAAAAAATTGGATGATTAACTTTTTCTTGCATCAGCCATACCATTTAGAAAATAAAAAAGAAAATGAATTTCACTTTTAATGTACAAAAACCAAAAAATCTATGCTAAAATTCTAATAAACATAATGCATTTATTTCAGTAAAAATAAAATTTTAGTTTTCATACGTTTTTTCACAGTAGATGTAATATATTCTTCAGCAAATTATTGGTGCACACATTTCTCTATTGCCACCATTAAATATAATTGACTGCCAGCAATTGTTCGTCTTTAGAAAATATGAAACAAAATTTCTGCGTTAAACGCAGGTTTAACGCATAAAAAGTATTTTAAAATATTCTTAAAATAGTAAAGTTTCTTTATTAGGATATTTCACAGCAATTGGTCAGAATTTTTATAGTGAATTGATTATTTTTTATTTCACTGAAAAAAATTGATGTTGTATGTTTTAATGGCCGACCCACAACATTTTTCGTGCTGTCAAAGAATAATATGGCTGACAAGTGAAATGAGCAGCACACCATACGGAAGATATATGAACTGCAGCAATTATTAGCATTTCAAAGTTTTTGAATTATGCCAAAAAAGTAGAATTATTTCGCTTTCACGAAATTTTAGGTTTTTCAATAATTTTTGCAGAAGGGTTCGATATATTGTATAAATGTATACCAAATACAACTAATATATTTTAACATATTTCTATTTAAGTAATATTTTTGCATAAATGCGTCTCGATATAAAACAAAATTATTAAATTTTGAACGAAAGTTGAAGTTGTATCAAATTACCTCAACGTAACATCTAAATAGACATCAGACTTTGTCCCAGATTTAGTCTTTGTCGTATATGTAAACGGCATCATAATAAAATGTGGGAAACACAAATAAACATGGCCAGGTGTAACTCTCTAGTAACATTAAAAAGTCAATCTTGAAACTTTTAACTTATTGTGAATAGGCCAAACTGTTGTAAAAGAAAGACATTTATGTCATGAAACAATATTTAATCTAAATCAAAACAAAAACATGTGCATTTACTGCCAGAATTTCATTTAAAATTTTTAGGTACAAAATTAAGTATTAATTAAGATTTGTGACTTTTTTTAAAAGGCTAAAAAAGGCAAATAACTTTAAAATGGATATTGTAAAAGAGGTTTTAGAGAAGCAACAAAAAGAACTTGAAAAATATAAACCAGTTACAGTAGAAAAGCATTTAGAAGTTCGAAATGATTTAGGAATGATGTTGTGTACGGATCCGAATGATATAAATGCGGAACAACTAAAGTGAGGACATTTTTTATAAACCTATTTTTGCTTATTAATTTGAATTTTTAGGGAAAATAAAGAAAATTTTCTTCAAGAATTGACTAGAGATAACGTACAGCTTTTACTAAATGAAATTTGGGATTTACCAACAGAACGAATTGATGAATGTGTAGTTGCTAAACTTCCTCCATCTACTACGATTTTACCGCGTTTACGTAAAATTCCAGGCCCTAAAGTACTTACTAAATGGGAAAAATTTGCCAAAGAGAAGGGAATCAAAAAGCGAAAGAAAGATAAAAAAATATTTGATCAAGAATTGGATGTAAGTTCCTTGTTATTCTTATACAGTAATTAGGACTTGTGATTCTGTTAAATATTAAGACTTAGTATGCTAGTATAGTATTCTTCTGTAGATCATATTTAGTTTAATTTATAGTCAAAAATTTCTTCTGCAGAAATGGGTTCCGACTTACGGTTATCGCCGTGCTGAAGCGGAAAAATCAAAGGACTGGGTTTTGGAAGTTCCACAGACCGCAGATCCAATGGCTGATATGTTTCAACAAAAAGTGGATTTACGTAATGAAAAAGTTGCTAAAAATGAGATTCAACGTATGAAAAATATTGTTAGAGCAAAGAAAATGGACATACCTCGCAGTGGCTACTTAGGTCCCGAAGTGGCCTCTTCAAAACAACTTTTGACTGCAGCATCTATTGCTAAAGCTTCAACAGCTTCTATTGGAAAATTTCAAGAGAAGTTGCCTAAGGAAAAACAAGCACGGGGTATTGGCATCAAAGAACTTATGCCTGGATTAAAAAGAAAAACATCGCATTTAAGAGAAATTTCTGAAAAGGAAGAAAATTTGGAACTCATAAAATCGGTTTTGAATAAGAAACCAAAACTAAATGTAGATGCCGCTATATCATTACAGAAGAAGGAAGCTAAGGAGGAGTAAGTTATTTTGCATATTGAAGCATATTTTTTTTTATATCTAAATATTTGCAGAAGGGAAAAAGAAGCAACTGAAGGAGGAGCTAAGAAAAAGGGAAAGAAAGGGGGGTCCAAAAAAGGAAAGGCTGGGAAAAGTAGGCAGTTCAAAAAGCCAAAAGGTGGGCGGGGTCAAAAAGTAAGTGGCAAAAAGACTGCAGGGCGAAAAAGGCGATAAAATACAATATAGTGAGGGAATTAAGAGTTGAGTTTGATAACCGAATTTTATTTTTAAAAAATAAAAAAAAGTATGCTTAGGAAAAAAATTAATAACTCTGTTAACTTTTTAAAATAAATTTTAATCCAAAATTGCTTAAGTCTTTTTACACAGATTTTGGCTTTTTAATTATAGTTTCCTGAAAGTTTTCAGGTTTATTCCAATTTGATTTAAACTAAACTTAAATATTAATAATTTTATATTGGGTTCCCTTTTCTGAAAACTAGTTTGCGAGCTAGAATTTCGGTAAATGTGTAAACACGTTATTTAGTGGTAGGCCGTCTTTAACAAACGAAGTTTTGCGACAGGCTTATGTTTTTTAAATTGTAATCCATTTCTTTCGAAAAATCTGTAATGAAACTTCTTTGCCATGATTACAACAGGACTTTATCCATTAATTTTAAGTAATTAATTTGAATAATTAAAGTTTTAGTTTCCAATAAAAATACATTATGTAAATGCATATGTGTACGGCAGTTGGTAGCGCTTTGAATATGTTTATAGAGTTTATAATAAATAATTTAATAATTAAATAAACCTAATTTATTAATTTAATAAACCTAAAATTTGTTTGCAGATCTACATACTGTAAACGTTATTAAAATAGCTTCAATGCATACCAAATTTAGAACGGATTTTAAAAATTTATAAGTTGAATTCGCTGGTTCGCAATTAATGCAATAGTAACCAAAATATGAGAATAACCTTGGTTTCTGTTGTTTATTGTTTGGAATTATAAACTTCTATTACACAAAGTTCCTTACAATTTTTCTTTAAAATTTTTCACAAAAGTAGCATGTACATATATGTAATTTTATTTCATAATTCGTAATTATTGAAGCGTCAAATATTTTTTAAAAATTTGAATAAAATACACATATTTTGTTATTAAGTGTATTATAATAAAATAGAAAATGAGTAAAAGCTTAGCTAAACTTAAAAAACCCCCAAGTGATTTGACTAAATATGACAATGAACCATATATGCAAAACCCTTTGTTAACTTTCCGGCTCTCAGATGTGAAAGATCAAAAACATTTTAATTATTTGAAAAAAAAAGGTAAATTTTTGAAACATCACAGTCAATAAGAATAAGTACCTATACATGAAAACTCCCATACAAAAAAGTTTTTAAGAAATAAAAGAAAACAAAGTGAAATGATAATGTTCCAATCTAAAACACTAAAAAGGGTAAAAAAAATAAAACTGATTTTCCTGTTAATATTTCCAATGGATACGGGATTGGACATTACGTACATTGGACATTATTTTCAGCCTTGTATAGGAGTTTACATATTATTATAATTATTTCTATATATTTATGAAGAGTAGTACTTGCTGCAATTATCTAAAATTATTTTTTGGCATCTATGTAAGTATTTGTGTTTGATAGATTGCTTGAAACTTTCATTTTAGCCGCTCAAGAGAAAATTAAACTTGCTCGGTTAAGAATATCTGGTCTTGATGAAGATACTATCCCAAAACCAGAAATATATTATCAAGAAAAACTAAAAGAACACATTAAAAAAATACCAATACCAAAAATGTTGGAGAAAACGGATCATAAAATTAAAAGTTTTGCTCCCAATAATTTAAAAACCAAGTTTCCATTTATCGTAAAAGCTTATATGGAAGAAGTACATCAAGAATATGATCGCTTAATGAGAGTTTTTAGTTGTAAAAAAATTTTAAAAAATCCTTGTTGTTCTTATGAAAACCCAGCGGACTATGAAATACCATCCGTTGATTTTAATTTCAAATATATTGGTAAAACAAATAATTATCCTACCTATTTAGCAAATCGACACAGGCTAAAAAAAAATTTATTGATTATCCATCCGTTTGTGCGAGCGATTTTAGATTATTCAGTACAAGATTTTCCAGATGTTTTGAATGAGTTCGACAAATATAATGCAAATATAGAAGAACCTTTTGTCTTACCATCTTTGGTAAAACAAAGTACAAATGATTTATACAAAAGATCATACTTTATTCGCTGGTCATGGTTTCCAAGAATAGTTGCGGTTATCAAAAGATATTATAAAAAAAAAGGATACATCGAGAAATCGGTATGGACAAAAGCTTTCCGTTGCATTGATGGGCTTGTAATTCGTCAAGTGACAGATTTGAGAGTACGTACATTAAACCATTTGATTGATTGTTGTTCATCAAGCAAACTTATTCCACATTTAAAAATAAATTTGGAATGTGATGATGGAGGTTTGGATTTAAATCCAAGTTATGAAATGATAGAGGCAGCATTTTGTAGAATAGCTACTGAAATACGTGAAGTTAGCAGCATCTTAGATCCAATAGCACCGCAAGTGGATCCATATTTAGCACAAAGAAGTGGTGAAATGTTTAAACTAAATGTTAATGATATATTTTTTGAGGAAATTATAGATAAAATAAAGACAGCCTTACGTGTTACATACGCCCCGATCCGGGAATATGTTCAAAGTTTTCAAAATAGGTATTATGCTCTTTATAGGTGAGACTATTATTGATAAATTTGTGAATTAATATATTATGTGTTGTTATACTGTGTATATCTATGTACAAACTGCAATATTTGTGGGTGGAGCAGTATATGTTGCATTAATTTATGAAACTTGCATCCATAATTTCATACTTCCCTCTTTATAAAACTGAAAAAATGTTATACATAAGTATATACATATATGTACATATGTAGGAAGCATGTAGTTTTTAAAACAAATATCGGTACTAACTGGTTGTAAATAATTTGCAAATTTGAAACATAGGTATGTACATATTATTTTACATTAGGAATTTATATGGGAATTATAATTGCGACAAAGATATTTTAACATACACACATATTGATATATTTCAATCTGTTTTTCATAATACATATGTACATATGTATATATTAATTTAGCTCTTACATAATTATGTATTTAGTACGAGTTTTTATTAACCTATGTCCATACATACTTTCATATACATATACATAGATATATTTATTAAACTGTAAAAATCAAAAATTTGTCAAAGAAAGCCAAAACAATTTGTGCAAGTGTTTGTTAAACAGTTTAAAACGTGCGTAACATACACATGCTTACATACATACATATACACAATAATAGTATTATCAATGTTTTTATAATTTTACGTTACATTGGTTATTTATAGCAAAGAAATGCTGGATGATATTGATTGTTTTTTAAGAGAACCTAGAGAATTTAAAGAATATTTTGAAAAGATTGAGTCATATTTTGCTCTAGTAGATATATTGCTGCGAGAACCCCAACGGGAGTTCTTTGAAATGGCTTTAATTAATAATGCTCCAGCTATAAAAAAGTTACGTGAAATTACTGATACTCAGATTGACAGAATAACTAAAATGATTGTTGAAGAGCATATGAAAGAAGAACATGAGATTTGTAGAATATTTGAAGCATTAAGACAAAGAGCTTTAGAAGTGCCAAGAACAACAGAACAATTAATGGCCAATGGAGAATATATGTTACGCATAAAAACGAAGGATATTTTTGTGTTGAGCGAGCGAATTCAGAAATGTTTACAAGTCGGTACCGACTTGGTATCGTTGACTGAAATGAGTGAAGAACATATAGCTTTGACAATAACTACTATAAGTTGGTTAGTTAAAATTAATGAGGTTTTCGAAACGAATGCAACCAATTTTGAAACATATAAAGGTGCTTTTGAAGAACATTTACAAGAAGTTATTAAGAAATTAGTGGAAGATATTGATGAGATGATACCAAAGTTGGCGGTCTTAGATGACATGAGCGATAAAGAAAAATTTACAGACTATTATTTTTTGCTACAAAATTTTATGGATCAAATTAAATGCTTAGAAGACTATGTCAAGTGGATTAATAAGGAAGAAAAACTTTTTAAAATGTCGGTTAGCAGTTATCCGAATTTAGAAGTTATCAAAGACTTTGTATTTCCATTTTCAGCTCTAATGAAGTATGAATTTTGATTTGGTTATCAAAATAATTAATTTTTTTTTATTTCATTTTCTATTTTATTATCTTGCAAATAGATTATGTGTGAGGTGGAAGCGCTATTATTTCGTTTGGATGGATGGACCTTTTGAATATTTAGAACCAAAATTTGTTGAAGAAACTGTTGATGATTTTCATAAAGAATTCATGAAAAATCAAAAGTTTTATCGCAATAAAATTAAACAAGATTTGATAGCAAATCCAATTTTAAAATTTAAGGTAGTAAATACAAATTTTGTTTTTATTAGTTTAATGAGAAAACAGTTTAAAATACCCATACGTATGTACATTATTATGTATGTATATGTATGTTTAATTACATTTACATCTTATATTTAAGGGGCAAACTGAAGACCCTGACGCGACAAAACATCCGTGCCCATTACGTTTAACATCAATGATGCTTTCTTGGATAAAGGATTTCGGTATTGGCGCACAAATTGTTAATATAATGTGCAATCCGGCTTTGCGGAAAAGACACTGGATCGATATGTCCGAAATAGCTGGTTTTGATTTAACTCCAGATGCTGGTACGACTTTGCGCAAAATTATTAATTTTGGATTACAATCCAAGCTTGATTCGCTAGAGATAATAAGTGTAAGTGCAAATAAAGAACTGCAATTGCAAATGAATTTATATGCAATGATTAAAGAATGGGATACAATAATGTTCCCACATGGAGTGTATAGGGATACTGATTTAACAATATTATTAAATTGTGATGATATTCAAACAATGTTAGATGATCATATATTAAAAACATTAACAATGAGGGGTTCAGCGTTTATGAAGCCTTGCGAGCAAGAAGTGTTAGCTTGGTACGATAAGTTGATAAGATTGAATTCAACTCTTGATAACTGGGCCAGATGTCAAGCCAATTATTTATATTTAACACCAATTTTTTCCTCAAAGGATATTGTTGCGCAAATGCCAGAAGAAGGGCGGTTATTTATAGGCGTCGATCAAATTTTCAGGCGAAGTATAGGCTTTGTAATACGGCAACCCTTAGTGATAGAAACAGGTCCATCACCTGGTTTGTTGGAATCAATGGAAAAAGCAAACGAAATGCTAGAAAATATTTCTGTGGGTGTTAATAATTATTTAGAAAGAAAACGATTGTTTTTTTCGAGATTTTTTTTCTTATCCAATGATGAAATGCTTGAGATACTTTCAGAAACAAGGGACCCACTACGTGTTCAGCCACATTTATGTAAATGTTTTGAAGGCATTTATCGTTTAGAATTTACTGAAGCAAAAGATGTTCTTGCTATGATAAGTTCTGATCAGGAAAGAATAAATTTTGTTACACCGATTTCAACTGCTGCAGCAAGTGGTAGTGTGGAAAAGTGGCTAGCTCGGGTTGAAGAAGAAATGTTAATTGCTGTTCAAAATGAAAATGCGAAAAGTTTTTCTGACTTTAGAAAAAGGAAACGATCAGAGTGGGTTTGCAATTGGCCTCAAATGATTGTATTGTGTGTATCGCAAATTTATTGGGCTTTAAATGTTCACTCGAATTTGAATATGCAAAATCAGAATTTAATAAAGGAAGTTTTCAAACAGTTGACAATTGATTTAAATGAAATTGTTGCTTTAATTCGCTCAAAAACAATATCAAATTTAAATCGCATAACAATTAAATCATTAATTGTTATAGATGTACATGCTAAAGACGTTATTGCTGACTTAGTACAATTAAATGTTTGTTCTGAAACAGACTTTAATTGGTTATCACAATTGCGTTATTATTGGGAAGAAGGAACTGCTCTTGTTCGAATTATAAATGCAACTGTTCCATTTGCAAATGAATATTTAGGGAATTCTGATCGCCTAGTTATTACACCATTAACTGATCGCTGTTACAGAACTTTGATAGGCGCCTATCAGCTGCATTTGAATGGTGCTCCGGAAGGCCCGGCAGGTACTGGAAAAACTGAGACAACTAAGGATTTGGCAAAAGCTTTAGCAGTTCAGTGTAAAGTATTTAATTGTTCCGATGGTCTAGATTATAAAGCGATGGGAAAATTTTTTAAAGGGTTAGCAGCTTGCGGTGCTTGGGCATGTTTTGACGAGTTTAATCGAATTGAGTTAGAAGTACTGTCAGTGATTGGTCAACAAATATTATCTATTATACAAGCAATTCGAACTAATCTGTCTAAATTCGTTTTTGAAGGCACTGAACTAAAACTAAACCCGGCTTGTTATGTATGTATAACCATGAATCCGGGCTACGCGGGGAGATCTGAATTGCCAGATAATTTGAAAGTTTTATTTCGTTCTGTTGCAATGATGGTACCAGATTATGCAATGATTGGGGAAATTTCCTTGTATTCTTTTGGTTTTATAGATGCCAGAAAACTAGCTGTTAAAATTGTTACAACATATCGATTATGTTCAGAGCAACTTTCATCTCAAAACCATTACGATTATGGAATGAGAGCAGTAAAAACTGTTTTATCAGCATGTGGAAACATTAAAAAAGCTTTCCCGGATGAAGATGAAAACGTTTTATTGTTAAGATGCCTGTTAGATGTTAATTTACCAAAATTTCTTTCATTTGATATACCACTTTTCGAGGGCATTATTTCTGATTTGTTTCCAGCTATCAAATTACCTCAATTAGATTATTCATTAATGGAAAAGGCTTTTAAAGAAGCTTGTCAGGAATCTAATTTACAACCAATAGAATCATTTTTCATAAAAATTATTCAGGTAGAGTTGTTAATAAAATATATATAGCATGTATATGTATGTATGTACGTAGAACTTGTTATGAATGAAATTTTGGCTTTCTTTGGTTTTTTTCGATTTTTATTGCCATTATTTCTATCTGGAGCCTCAGTTTGTTCAAAAAGAGGTACAAAAATTTGAAGTGATTGTGTTAAGTTTGCAGTTTTAGTTTTTAAAATATAAATTAAATACTTAAAGTATTTTTATTTGTTTAGACATATGAAATGATGATAGTACGCCATGGTTTTATGTTAGTAGGAGATCCAATGGCAGGGAAAACTAAGACCTTGCAAGTTTTAGCTGCCATCTTAGAGAAATTAAAAAATTTAAACGACGAAGCGAGCAAGTATTACCAAAAAACTGAAATGGGTATAGTTAATCCAAAATCAATTACGATTGGTCAGTTGTATGGAGCATTCGATTCTGTATCATATGAATGGACTGATGGAATTGTTGCAACAATATTTCGTGCATTTGCTATGGATTCATCACTAAATAGGAAATGGGTAATATTTGACGGGCCTGTAGATGCCGTGTGGATTGAAAATTTAAATACAGTATTGGATGATAATAAAAAATTATGTTTAACTTCTGGAGAAGTAATAGCAATGTCTCCACAAATGTCAATGATTTTTGAAGTTATGGATTTATCACAAGCATCACCCGCTACAGTTTCCCGTTGCGGTATGATATACATGGAGCCTAAAAACCTAGGTTGGAAGACGTTTGCTTTGTCCTGGTTAAACAAGTGTGATTCCAAATGGGCTGATGAAAATGGACGCGATTTAATTTTACAATACCTAGACTGGCTTGTTGAACCGGTGAAATTTTAAAGATATTTTTTATTACTACTTAAATTAAACATTTTTCTTTTTTTCAATAATCTTATACATCATCCTCCGGCCACATTCAGTCACAAACTTTTATTCGAAGGAATTGTTCTCAACTCCTAAACCCTGGAGAATTTAGTGTCTTGCGTACAACTTTTGAGTTATTTGACATGTTTATGGCCGAAGCTCTAGATGAAAATCCTGAAGAGTACACGAAATATCTTTTTTATTGGATTCCAGTAGCATTAATGAATGCTGTTAATTGGGGAATAGGGGGAATTCTAGATATTAAATCTAGAGAAAAATTTGACGAGTTCCAAAGATCGGTAAATTTAATTATTTCCATATATTATATGCTTAACAATTGCGACAAGACATGATATCATCCTTCTTTTTTCATTTTGTAAAAGATGTGGACAAATACAAATGAACAGTATCCTATGCCTAGAAAATTGGGAAACGTGGAAATTATTATGCCAGGAGAAGGCCTTATATTCGATTATTTGTACGTTTTCAAGCAAAAGGGACAGTGGAGATACTGGCCTGATATTGCAAGAAAGCAAGATATTGAAATTACACCATCAGGATATTTAGTGAAGACAATAGATACAGGACGATATATGTACATTTTAGATTTACACTTTAAGGTAAAATTGAATAAAGTACACAATCATTATATCTAAATACATAAGTGTATAAATATGGAATTTGTTTTATATTCAGCATAATAAAAAACTACTATTTGTTGGGCCAACTGGAACAGGAAAAAGTTTTTATGTCCAAAATATGATATTGACAAAGCTCAGTGAAGAGTTATACACAAAAAACTTTATAACTTTTACAGTTATGATGACAGCAAATCAAACGCAAGATTTGGTGCTTTCTAAGGTACTGTAATTATAATTTTTATAAGTAAATTTATAAAAATTTAATATGTTAATTATGTTTTGTATTTTGTTAGCTAATTAAACGTCGACGGGGTTTTTTTGGACCACCAAAAGGTCAAATTGCGGCAATATTTGTTGATGATATGAACATGCCAGCTAAAGAAAAATTTGGTGCACAACCGCCTCTTGAACTCTTAAGGCAATACTTTGATTACGGTCATTGGTATGATTTGAAGGATACAACAAAAGTTTGGATTCAAGATACATTAATGATATGCGCTTGTGCGATTCCTGGTGGTAGTCGCCAAGACGTTTATGCAAGGTTTTTAAGCCATTTTAATATATTTTCAATAAACGAATTCGCAGAAATTACTATGAATCGTATTTTTGTTTCAATACTAAGTACAGCATATAAAAATAATGGTCATACTATGGAAGTTAATGCATCGGTTAAACAAATTGTAGATGCAACATTAATAATTTATAAATTAGTTCAAATGGAATTATTACCAACTCCTTCAAAGGCACACTATATTTTTAATATTAGAGATATAGCTCGAGTTATTGGTGGTTGTTCATTATTAAAAAAGGAATCGGTGGACAGTAAAACAGTTTTCCCAAGAATTTGGTATCATGAAGCCATGAGAATTTTTTATGATAGATTAGTCGATAATTACGATTATGAGTGGATGTTTAATAAGCTAAATGATTGTCTTAAAGAGTGTTTTAATACAAGTCCTGAATTAGCGTTTGAAAATTATCTTAAAGAAGAAGGAAGCGAATTCAATTTAGATCTCGCTAATAAAATTATTTTTGGTTCGTATTTAGATGAAGATGTTGAAACAGATGATAAAAAATATGAAGAAGTGCAGTCAGTTGAAGTATTTTACAATATTGCTTTCAAAAATCTTGAAGAATACAATTCAATGAGAAAAACTAAAATGGATATATCTTTATTCACATATGCTCTTCAGCACTTAAATAAAATTTGTCGTGTAATGTCTATGCAAGGTAGTAGTGCTTTGCTAGTCGGTATTGGTGGTTCTGGCCGACAATCGTTATGTAAATTGGGAGCTCAAATAAATTCACAGTCTTTATATCAACCTGAAATTACAAAAAATTATGGCGCAAATGATTGGCATGACGATTTGAAAGCAGTACTAAAAGAAGCTGGTGGATTAGGAAAACATACAACTTTCTTAATGACAGAAAATCAAATTAAAATGGAATTATTTTTGGAAGATATTGATTGCTTACTAAACACTGGCGAAGTTCCAAATATGTATGCAATAGATGAAAAGCAAGAAATTTTAGACTTGGTTCGTTTAGCAGCACAAGGAGGCAATAGGAATTTGGATGTGTCCCCGCTTCAAGTTTTTTCGTATTTTGTTAATAGATGTCACCAAAAATTGCATATTATGCTTTGCTTAAGTCCGATTGGTTCATCGTTACGAACTCGTATTCGACTTTACCCATCTCTGGTTAACTGTTGTACTATAGATTGGTTTCAATTGTGGCCAGAAGAAGCTTTGACTGTAGTTGCTGAACGATGTATGAATGAAGTAGAGCTTGAGCAGAACATTAAAGATGCCGCTGTTGTCTCATTTCAATATTTTCATACAACGGCTAATAAAATAATAGAAGAATTTTATAAAGAAACGGGTCATATAATATATATAACTTCAGCATCCTTTCTAGAATTGATCAAATCATTTCAATTGCTTATTGAAAGGAAAATGAAAGATGTTATGGATCAAAAGACAAGATATCTTGGAGGCTTAGAAACACTAAAAAGGGCAGCCGCTACAATAGCTATTATGTCAAAAGAATTAAATGATCTTCAACCAAAATTAGTAAAAATGGCAGAAAATTCGCAAAAAATGATGGAAGAAATAAGTGTTGAGACAATTGCTGCTACGGCAGCTGCCGAACAGGTTAAAAAAGACGAAATTGTTGCTAAAGCGCAAGCTGAAGCGGCCGAGATTTTAAAAAGCGAATGTGAAAAGGACCTTGCCAAAGCAATTCCAGTGTTGGAAGAAGCTTTGCAAGCTCTGAATACATTAAAGCCATCAGATATTACTCTAGTGAAGTCTATGAAAAATCCGCCATCTGTTATAAAATTAGTTTTAGCTTCGGTTTGTGTTATAAAAGGAATTTCTCCTGATCGCGTTAATGACCCAACAACAGGTAAAATGGTGAATGATTACTGGGGACCAAGTAAACGCCTTCTTGGTGATATGAATTTTCTCCAATCATTGAAAGATTTTGATAAAGATAACATTCATACAGAAATAATGAAAAAAATTCGTAAAGACTATATTCCCAATCCGGAATTTCAACCAAAAATTGTTGCTAAAGCATCAAGCGCTGCAGAAGGTTTGTGCAAATGGGTAATAGCAATGGATTTATATGACGCAGTAGCAAAAGTTGTTGCCCCAAAAAAAGCTAAATTAGCTGACGCAGAAAAAGAGTATGCAGATACAATGCAGTTGCTGAATGAAAAACGTGAACTGGCTGCTGAGTTAGAAAGAAATCTCGTACGTTTAAATGAAGAATTAGATAAGGCTAACATGGAGATGAAGCGGACAAAAGATGAGGTTGAGTTTTGTCAAACTAAATTGACAAACGCAGAAACATTGATTAGCGGTTTAGGTGGAGAAAACGAACGTTGGACAAAATCCGCAGAAAATTTACAGCTTGTTTATGATCATTTACCAGGCGATATTTTGATTTCTTGTGGTATAATAGCCTACTTAGCGACAATAACAGCAAAACTTCGTTGTAAATGTATAGAAGATTGGTTTAAAAAGTGTAAAAGTTTAAATATCCCGTGCTCAGATAAATATGTTCTGCTGGAGGCATTGGGTTCTAGTATTAAAGTTCAAAATTGGAATTTATTTGGTTTACCGAGAGATCCTTTTTCAACAGAAAATGCTATTATAATGGATAACTCAAGACGTTATAGTTTGTTTATAGATCCTCAAGGTCAAGCAAATAAATGGATTAAGAATATGGAAAGAATCAATAAATTAACAACTGTCAAATTTTCTCAGAGTGATTATATGAAAATAATTGAGAAATCCATAGAAGTTGGTACACCAGTTTTAATTGAAAATATTATGGAAGAGTTAGAAGTACCGTTGGATCCAATACTAAATAAAAATATTTTTAAGCAAGGAGCTCATGAATACATTAGTTTGGGTGATAATATTGTGATGGTTTCTCCAAAGTTTCGACTTTATATGACTTCAAATCTCAGAAATCCACACTTTTTACCAGAGATTTATAATAAAGTTACTATAATAAATTTTGCTCTAACGCAATCAGGGTTGGAGGATCAGTTATTAAGCATTGTTGTCGCAAAAGAACGACCAGATCTTGAGGAGCTACGGCAAATTTTAGTAACAGAAAACGCGGAAAACCGGACTGCTTTAAAAGGTGCTGAAGACATGATATTGCTCACCTTATCTGGACCAGGTAATATTTTAGAGAATCAAGAAGCTATAGATATATTGGAAGAATCAAAAAAACTCTCTGTTACAATTCAACAAAAACAAGAAACGTCTAAGGTAACTGAAGCGAAAATTGATACCTTTCGCCTTAATTATAAAACAGTTGCTCGGCACTCATCTGTTTTATACTACACAATTACTGACTTACCAAATATTGACCCAATGTATCAATTTTCCCTTAATTGGTATATTAATCTGTATATTTATTCGATTGAAAATGCTAATAAATCAAAAGACATTGGAAGACGTATTAAATTCCTGATTGAGGCAATAACGTTAAATTTGTATAGCAACATTTGTCGATCAATATTTGAAAAGGATAAGTTACTGTATTCTTTCATTTTGGCAACGCAAATTATGATTGCTGCAGATCGTATGGATTCTACTCAGTTACTTTTTTTCTTAACCGGTGGTGTTGATGTTAAAAAAAAATCGCCAAACCCGAATTCAACTTGGATTTCAGAAATTATGTGGAATGCAATTTGCAATTTAGAACAATTAAATATTTTTAAAGGAATAACTAATTCTTTTAAAGAAAATTCGATAGAATGGAAGGCTTACTATGATCACGCAGAGCCACAATCACAATTGTTACCCGATCATTGGCACGACAAGACAAGTGGTTTTGAAAAAATTATAATATTAAAAGCAATTCGCCCTGATAAAGTATGTACTGCGTTAAAGAACTTTATCACAGTTGAAATAGGGCAGCAATTTGTACAACCACCTCCATTTGACATAGCAAAATCGTATGAAGATTCAAATTGTTTATCTCCTTTAATTTTTATATTATCACCAGGATCCGATCCTATGAGTTCATTGGTTTCATTTGCCGAAAAAATTGGTTTCGACGAACAGTTTCAAAGTATTTCTTTGGGGCAAGGGCAGGGTCCAATAGCTCAACGACTGATTGAAGATGCCCAAGAAAGTGGGTATTGGGTGTGTTTGCAAAATTGCCATTTAGCATCATCATGGTTACCCACTCTTGAAATTTTGTGGGAAAAGTAAGTTTTAACGTTATTTAAATTTATCAGTTGTTCAAATATACATATTGTATTTTTAAAATAGAATGGACGTTTTTAATACAGATCCACAATTTAGAATATGGTTAACCGCGTATCCATTCGATAACTTTCCAGTAGCTTTATTACAAAACTCGGTTAAAATGACAAATGAACCTCCAACTGGCTTGCAACAAAACTTACTTAGGTCTTACAATTCGGAGCCAGTTAATGACGAAAAATTTTATTTAGGTGAATAAAATCTATGCAACATACATTATTCAATTAGTATTATTGTTTATAAATTATAATGTACATATGTAAATATGTATGTATATAATAATGTGTATATCTAAACAAATGTACTGATATGCATGAATGTGCGACGTACTTGCTTTTATTTATTCAGGTTGTCCTTCAGCTGATCGTGCCTTTACCCGGCTCCTGTATGGTATATGCTTTTTTCATGCTGTAGTTCAGGAGCGAAGAAAATTTGGTTCTCTTGGTTGGAATATTGCTTACGGATTTAACGAATCAGACTTCCAAATTTCGGTTCAACAACTTTTGATGTTGCTTAATCAATATGAAGAAATTCCTTTTGCAGCAATTTCTTATTTAACTGCAGAATGTAATTATGGTGGAAGAGTCACAGATGAATGGGATAGAAGATCAATAGTTACTATTTTAAAAGATTATGTCAATAATGATGTTGTTTGCGACATGAAATATCGTTTTGCTGACGATGACATTTACATTTTACCACGTCAAAACGAGCACAGAGAAATTATAAAATATATTGAGGAAAATATACCAACAATGCCCCCACCGGAGGTTTATGGCTTGCATTCTAATGCTGGAATCGTGAGAGATTTACAAACTTCGAAATCTCTAATTGATTGTATGATTTTAACTCAGGGTAAAGGAACAACTGCATGTTTTGTTGCAGACAATATTTTATTGGAAGTTGTTACTAGAATTGAGGAAAGCCTTCCAGAAGATTTTAACATGGAAGAGGCCAAGAAGAAATATCCCGTTAATTATAATGAAAGCATGAACACTGTATTAATACAAGAAATGGATCGTTTTACAAAATTGTTAAAAGAAATCAAAAAGTCTTGCAGTAATTTAAAAAATGCGATAAAAGGAAACATAGTTTTGACACCAGAACTTGAAGAAATTATAATAGCTATTAATTCCAAAAAGGTTCCCACAGTTTGGATGAAAAAATCATACCCGAATTTGAAACCATTGGCATCCTATATTCAAGATTTTCTAGATCGATTGAATTGGTTAGAAAAATGGTGAATTTCATATTTTGTTCCATAAGTGAAATAATATTATTTTAAAATCCTATGCATTTGTTTGTTTTTTAGGTTTTTAAATAACAAACCACCAACATTTTGGCTGTCAGGTTTTTTTTTCACTCAATCGTTTTTAACAGGAGCTTTGCAAAACTATGCACGAAAATATAAAATCCCAATAGATGCATTAACATTTGATTTTGAAGTATTAAAGGCTTTTTGGTATGAATAACACAAATAATGCATATAAAATTTTCTATGAAATTTAACTGTATCAACTTTACTCTTTTTCATTGCAGGATGGAAACTCCTCCAGAAGATGGAGTTTATATTAACGGATTGTTTTTAGAAGGATCAAACTGGAGTTGGGAAAATAATGGTTTAGTTGAACAATCGCCAAAAATACTATTTACAGTTATGCCTGCATTTCACTTCTATGTAAGAGTGTATATTTTTCATTAATGGATATTTTGGATTATTCTTTAACGAAATTGTTTTATAGTAAGCTTCTCTTTGAAAATAATAATTTAATATATTAGTGTGATAACGTCGAGAAGCAGATCAAATTCTTTCTTGAAAAAGAAGACATAAAATCTACAAAAAGAATACTAGTGCAAAGTTTTTAATAAAATTAAATTAATTATATTTAAGTAGCTATAAAAAAGCTTTTAAAAATATAACTAGCCAATTGCTCTAAAACATTTTCTGACAAAATTAAATATCAATAGGTATTCATTTCCCTGTTATACGAGTAGTATCTAAAAAATAGGGTATTGAAATATGTATAAGGTATGTATTGTTTTATGCACTTTTTTTATATTATTGATACTCATAAAAATGAAATGGGATATTTCATTTATTGAACTTACTCAGTTTTGATTGATACCAATTTCAATTGTAAAAATTTTCCTAAATCTTATTTGATATAGAGAAATGTACTAAAATCTTAACTCTAAATATTATTTCTTCTAGTAACATTTTAAACCAAAAGATTTAAATCGTGTTTTACTCAAAATAGCAAAAATGTAATTATCATGTTCTGAAAGATGAGAAAACTCTAGATATGCATCCCTGTCACATGATATGATGTTCTTTCTTTTTTATAGTGGGGCCTTAGTAAGCCTAATATACTGATTAACCTAAACTTCTTCGTTAGGAAATATGACTAATACAGGTTCTTTTATAATATTTTAATTACATAAGTATGTTCGTATTTTTAATTAAGGACAACTCAAAATGGCGTATTTTTAAAATATTTAATAATTAATACAATACAGTTCTTTTATAATTTCATTATCTTAATTTTTAATCTAATTTAATTTTTAATCAATATTTTCAACTTTATTTGTAGGTCAAAATTAAAGAAATTAAAATTTACATATTTGTTTAGCTACTTTTAAATATAAGACAAATTTTTTATTCGTTTAGTTATGTTGCTAATTATCATTTGCAGCCGATACTCATTAAAGAACTGCAAGAAGGCTCAAGATATCGGTGTCCCTTATATAAAACAGCTGAGCGTAAAGGTACTTTATCAACAACGGGACATTCAACCAATTTTGTTTTATCGCTCCTTTTGAATACAAAAATGCCGGCATCACATTGGATAAAGCGAAGTACCGCTTTAATATGTCAAACAAGCAGTTAAAATTATTTTATTTCGGATGTATTAATTTATTTTTTATAGCTAATTAAAAAAATGAACTGAATATTTAAAAAGCAAATAAGACTGGTGAAAAATAAACATAACATTCTGCTTTTGAATTATACATATACATACATATACGTATATATTATCTGGAATTCAAAATTAAGTATGTACTATTTATATATGCATATGCACTTATATACTACATATATTATATACTTACATATATGAATATGTATGCATGTGCGTGAATATGGGGGAAAGTTTTTTAAAGCAGGATTATAACATTATATGAAGATAATGTGGATATTTTCAATAAAATTATTATATTAAATATTTTCAATAAAACTTATATTTGAGTTTTAAAAGTGGTTTTTTAAATATACTTAGGTTCTGTTTTTCAAATACATGCGTACATATGTACATATGTATGTAAATTCTTGAAATTTAGTGCCTGACCGTCAATCTCGCTATTTTACCCGGAAAGTGAGAAGAAAGTGAGTAACTATCTTATACTTATAATTGTAATTTTCGAGTAAGAATTATTCCGATTGCGTATCCCGTTTTTTTTTAAATTGTATTTAAAAAAAAGTTTTTCACTTTGTTTTTGAAAGTGAAAAATTCAGTCGATAATTTAAAAAAAAAAGCAAAAATCCAATAAAAAAAATGAGTTTTTTTTAAAAAATTAGAAAATACTTATAATTCTGATTTGAAAGTGAATAAATTATTAAAGAGCTTCAAGCAATTTTTTGCTTCATCAAAGCGAGGGTTGAACCTTTCCAAATGCTTCGTCCTACGAAATTTCCCAGTAAAAACTGACTGGCTTTTTCACACAAACGAAAAATATAAGTGCCTCTGTGGTATGAACTACTTACATTTAAATGTATTCATGTAGACGGATTTACAATCCTAGATAGTATAAGTATTTGATTTCTGATTAATTTTACTTGACAAGATTTTTTTTCTTTAAATTATAATGCTTACTCCAGTAAACGCTTCGGATATAAGGATGTGTGAGGTAACAAAGTTGTTATTGCTAGACTCACGTCTCGCTATTTGCACTATTTGTCACAAAAAGCGTCCACAATGTTATTTTTGAAAATTGTCACATTTATTCAATTGACGGTCACTTCCCGCAAAAATGCCATTCTGCGTCCAACATATAGATGGAAATGGAACGCAAACATTTTTTCATATTTGGGGTAAACAAAGAATTAATGTTCCTATTTCGAGTATCGAAAAAACATATGTATTTTTGTAACTCATATGGTTAATGACGTTTACAAATTTTTAATATGTAATTGATATGCATTTTATTAAGTAAACAAAATAAGAACATAAGATTTTGTGTAAAACATCTGTTTGTTGTTTTTTTTCCAAATAAAATTAAAAAATAATGAAAATCCTAATTTGAATTAAGAAATACTTCCTAAATTGCAAATTTGAATCCTTGATATATGATGGCTTTTGATAAGATTGTGGCCGGTATCTGCATATAAGAGTACTGCATATGTATGTATGTAGCATGAAAATCCAATTAAATGAAACAAGTTTTATAATTTATATAGTATTTAATTCAACAATGTCTTTTAAAAGAAACAAAATAAGGTTCAAAATAATTTTCATAAAAAATCTATTGTAAGATTTCTGATTATGGTTTTTAAATTAAATATTTTCAATTCACATAGTAATTTTATTAGATCACAGTTTAAATTACTTGACTGATTTTCTAATAAATTCTACATACAACTTTCCCCAGAATTTAATTATCAATATTATTCTGCGATTAAGCCCAAAAACAAGCGGATTTTGTAACCGATTTCTTGTATACCTAATAAAGAAGTGAAATTATGTCGCAATTTATAACTCAGTTTTTGTATAAAATTATACGTATATATGTATATGTATTTTTATTTTTAATAGCATTACAAAAAACGTGCAGTATAACGACTGCTTCTAAAAGTCTCCCACTTTTTAGACATCATTTGGAGTTATTGAGTTGTACAAGGCATACGACCGTCATCACCATCGTCTAAATCTGTACTATGCTCGCTACTAGATGAAGTTGCTATGTCTTGCACCAATGGATAATTATCACCTTGATCATCGGAATAGGTAGTTCGATTTAAAAATCGAGTTCTTCTTCGGGTGCGTTGACATTCACTAATAAAAAATAGGAAAGTTCTGTTACTAAAAACATCGCTTTTATTCGAAGCCAATCGCTTGGCATTATGCTTGACACATTTTTCAAGGCCTTCCATTTCGGGAGGTATCTGCAAAAAATTCAATTTTCCTTTGTATAGCCACTTTTTTGTAGGTATTAATTTTATTTACCGTTTCAGAAATTGGGCTCCATATTTTCGCGTCGAAATCTAGGCCTGATGTTGCCAAAATTGGAAAAGACGGATGAGGCTCTAAACAATTAACCTAACAATAAATAACCAAAAAATTAACAATTAGCATTAAAACGCAAATCAACCTACAATCCCTGATCTGTCTCCTTTTTGCCAATTTAGAATGACTTCACTTTCCTTATCCCATATAAACATATTTCCACAATCACTTCCGCTAATTACATACTCAGAATTGGGACCGAAAAAATTGACGCCTTTAATTGTTTTACAGTTTCTGAAAGTTATTTTCACATATGTAAAATATTTTTAAACTATTATTTAATAGTATTACAAATGGCCCCTGTATTGATGCGTAAAATGTCCTTTCAAATAGCATTTATTGTTGAAAAGATATATATCACCATCATTATATGAAGCTAAAATTTCGGTTCCTGTTTGGTTATATACAGCGCATGTTATGTAGCTATCATGATGTTTATTCTAAAGACACAAAACTATGTTAATTGTTTTAATAAAAATACTTTTTTCTTACATCAGTAACAAATTTTTCTGGAAACATTCTGTAAACTGGTTCTTTCACATTCCTCTTGTCATAAACTCTTACAAACTGATCCCTTCCACAAACACAAAATTCTTGATCTAATGGATTATGAGCAACGCTGTACAAATCAATCCTTTGGCGATTGCTACCGCGTACTGTTACTAATCGTTCGATAGGTTTTTCTCTTAAATCGCATCTTACAACAAATCCATCTTCACCTGCGGTTAAAATTTCATAAGGATTCATGGGACACACAGCTATTTTATGTACTGGACCGGAATGTTTAAACAATACGGTCGAAATATTTTTGGAACCATTTGGTCGTAAAATTTGATGACGCACTTGACCATCTCTTGCACTCGAAACAATATTTGTTCCACCACCAATATCAATAAATTTGGTTTGAAAAACATTTAAATTGTGGCCAGATAAAAAAGAATGAATCACTTTACTATTAGCCCAATCCCATAACATTATTTTTAGATCATCTGATCCTGTGCAAAGTATATTGCCAGATCGATTAAAATTTAAACTATTAACACAGCCACGATGTTTTCTTAAATTATGTGTAAGACGCAACTTTTCTATCGTTAATCTTGAGTTATATATTGTACTTTGAAAAGCCATAGGATCACGTCGCCTTCTATATGATATTCCAAGACCTGATAAGCCATGCTCGCGATATATTACTTCATATAAAAGGTTTGTTCTGTATTTTGGTTTTTCTTTTGTTAAAATTTCTTGAATTGAATTGATATCATCTGAAACATCTTGCTCTTCATCTGTATCATTCGATTCTAAACCGTGCGAGCTTGAATCAGAAGTCGAATCTGTTGCATATGTATTTTGTCCATCAGAATCATCTTCATTATTAGAATGAGCGGAGTCATCATCCATATGCTAAAATTACGAATTATTTGACTAAACAAAATATTAAAAATTTTACAACTTTCTTACATCAGAATCGCTGTTATCAACAGGTGCCTCATCGTTAGAAATATCCATATTTGAGCTATTAAGAGAAGATTCTGACGACGAAATTCTTCGTGGTCGATAATGTCGATTACGGTTTCGAGGTTTTCTAACTGTGTCAGTTTCACTTGGACCAGCTTCTTGTTCATTTGCATTTAGTGTTCTTGTAACATCTTTCATTTCGTCTTCTTTAACTGCTTCGTCGGTATTCGTATTATTCTGGACGACATTTTCGTTATTGGTTGAACTTTCACCTTCTAAATGTTCATTTTCAGTCTTAATACCCAAAACTTCTTGAGCTCTGTTCTTAGTACAATTATTACTTTGTGTGCATTCATTGTTTTTTTCCTTAAATGACTCTAATTGAACTGATATTTTATTTATATTTTCGTCTTCCATTATTTCTTCATTATTCGTTTCTTGGCTTGCTTGCGTTTCTTCTGTACCGATCATTTCAATATCATTCGTACATGAGCTAAAAATATTGAATGCTAGTATTAACAGCCATAATGTAATGTGTTTTTAAGTACATATAAATATACATACATAGGTAGGTATAAATTTAATGGGTACGTATTTTTTTTTCTAAATAATGCGTATTCGCTATTATTGACATAACATATTTTGACATGTATTTTATACACTTAGTGTGCCACAATATTTTAATTAAATTTAAGACCTAATATTGACAAATATTTATAAAAATAATCGATTTTACCTTGTTGAATTAACATCAGTAATTCTTAGTTCTTTTGGTAATAGTATATTCTCCAACTTGGATCTTTTTGCTGACGTACTTGAATCTCCAACATTCGTATCTTGCTCCATATTTTTCTCTACGGGGAAAATCCAGGTAAATCAATTTTGATATGACTTCTTTTAAAACAACTTTTTTAAAACTATGTAAAGGAAAAAAGTAAATTAAATTTCACCTTTCCTGATATAATTTTCAATTTTTCTATTTTTACTCTTAATATGCTGTCAAAAATTTCAAAACAAATGTTTTTTTTTCAACAATGGCAGCATTTCTTTTTTGTTCTCCATAACGAGAAGCAGTAAAACTTTCCGTTACTTTTAATTATAAATTTAAAAATTTGCGAGTGCGAAAATTATTTTAATAAAACTTTATAAGAATTTTGTTGTGCTTATTCTTTTTTTAAGTACATACACATTAAACTTTAACTGCATGCATATATTAGTTCTAATTTACAAGTGACATTGTCAAAAGCTCATAATATTATCTAAACATTTTTTTAATATAACTAAAATTAATATAAATCTTATTGGTGGCCGGTATATTTGTTACTCTGGCGTAAAACTATAAACTTCCCTGTTCACCGTCAATTCAATTCAATTTGTTCACACTCAATCAATTAATTTTGAAAATACTCGTGAGAAAAATATACTAGCTATAAAAAATGATACACTGTATTTGAAAATTTGTGGTATCATAGGGTAACTCAGATAACAGTACATTCAAATTCTTGACAAACTTATACAAAAAGTCTTCCACTTCATATTAACTTGCTTTCACCTGAATTTTTTTTTCCAAAATAAGTCATTCAAAAATGTTTTAGTTGGTATATTATTTTTATGATACCACAATAATGTATACTCTTTTACAATAAGTGATGTGAAGTTACATTCAACGAAAATCGAAGAAGGATTTAGCGGTTATTACAACACAAAAACCAGGCAAATTCTCTTTTTGCTAAATATAATCATTGTCTTCAATATTTATTGTGATTACTTTATTGTGGATAATCATGATTGTACCCGTACAAATTAATATTCGTTCCTCATCCTGAATGTTATTGCACACAAACTATATATTATTTGTGTTGCTAAAGCATGTTATCAAATATGATTGCTTATCTTAACTTATTTAGTTAAACATTCAATTCGACCTTTGTATTAACGTTTCTTTAATTTTTTTGTCATCCTAAAACTATGTAAAAAATTTGATTTATTCTGGTATATTAAAAAATGTTTTTTATGGAAAGACTTTCACAACGTTAGTTCAAGATAGATATGGTATTTTATAAATCAATTGTTTTATCAGAAATAATTATATAGAATCTCGATTTCTTACTAATCGGTCTCCCGAATCTAGCACTAAAATTGAATTAAAATTTTTAACAATTTAACATAATTAAATGGATATATGCTGTGTTTGTGACTATTATTTTGAATCAAGTTTGTTACACAGAATTTTCTTTTCAATATGTACAATTCGTCAAGATAATTATTGAAATATTAATGTCTTTATATCTAACAAGTCCCAATGCTCAGAGAGAAACTTGAAAGCACGACCTTATTTTATATGGGTTTTTTTTAAATCGAAGTGGCTCTTTTTTTAGAAGAAATATTAACATAAATTCACACTTATTATAAAGCAGGTAAAATGTCGAAAATATATTTAAAAATCAAGAAAATATATTAATATTTCTATTCATAATTATTTTAAAATTTTTGAAACAGCGGAAAAACAACAAGCACACGCTTCGCCTTCAACGTTTTATATGTTACTGAAAGCATTTCATTATTTTTAAGTGAACAGCTTTTTTTCTCATAAGGTAAGTTAACTCAAGATATGGGAAGTAACTGTGGTGTCAAGTTAATATGACTCAAAAACTCCGATTGTAAAATGACAGGTAGTAGGTACTGCTGTAAATTTTTGTCCGTTTGCGTTTACTTTTAAGAGTCATACACAGGCAGGGCCATTTTATAAATACGTTGCTTTTACTTACCTTGAAAAATTGTTTATTTGAAAAATTGTTATAAATTGAAATATTTTTAAAATAATTATTTAAAAAAAATTTATTGGAAGTAGGTACATACATATTTATTTTTAATAACTTAAAAACTAACTGAAATTATTTGAAACAATTTTATAAGTAACGTATAAATAACCGAAATGAGATAATTCAAATTGTTGAAATGTGTCAACCTATATTACTCTTAATAACATTTTTGTTAGCCGACACTACTCAACTTGCCTTATTGGGAAATACAAAATGTGCATGAAAAATCATACATCCTTCCTCATTAACATTTGAAACCATACTGAAATATGAATTTGAAATTTTTTATCATTTTTTCTTTCCTCCTACCTTTCTTTCTTTTTCGTGCAATAGAATTTAAATGGGAAGCTTTTTAAAAAATGTGTATAATATCCTGAGATTTTTTAAAATATTAATCTCTTTTTTACGTAAAAAAAAAGAAAAAAATAATAAAAAATATGACACGATCAGTGGCATTTAAAGAAAAAACCAACAACGAGGCCAAAAATTCGTAATATTTCGTAAAAAAAATTGAGTATTGGGACTTGTTAGATATAAAGACATTATTCTAAATTTTACCTGCTTTATAATAAGTGTGAATTTATTTTAATATTTCTTCTCAAAAAATAGCCACTTCGATTTAAAAAAACCCATATAAAATAAGGTCGTGCTTTCAAGTTTCTCTCTGAGCATTGGGACTTGTTAGATATAAGGACATTAATTAAACAATTTTTTACGTAAAAAAAGGAAAAAAATAATAAGAAATATGACACGACCAGTAGCATTTAAAGAATAAAACAGGAACGAAGCCAAAAATTCGTAATATTTCGTAAGAAAAATTGAGTATTGGGACTTGTTAGATATAAAGACATTAGAAATATCAACACTCTTTTGTTAGTGATTAGTTCGCTAAAATAAGAGTTAAAATGTTTTAATTTCTAAATTTTTTTGTTATGTGTATGCAATCTAAATATTGTAAATTTTTATGTGCGCGCACTAGTTGAATACGTCAATTATCTATACCTAAGTTTAAGTATGAATCAGACAAATAATTATTTTAATCGTTCTTATTTTTAATTTTTACGTTTATTATAGTAAATAATGTTAAAAAGTAAACGAAATAATGAAATAAAAAAAGCAAAAAGAAGGAAGAGGAAAGAAAAAAGTTACAAATTTAAGCATGAAAAAGATATTTTTTTTTGCTATTCTATATAACATTTTAGTACCGTTGAGACCGCAGACTCGAATGGTCTAAAAAGCAAAGGTGTATCGCTAGTGTTTCGCGTTATTTAATTTTTTATATGAAACTTGCCGCTGTATACTTAAGAGGGAAAAACAGCAAAGTAAAAGAAGAACAAAAAAAGAAATAAAAACAATCGAAATAGTTTCATAAAATTGTTGCTTCGCGTAAGCAATAGCGGTTAGTAATAAAAATTTAAAAAGATACATTAATATAGTGAAGAAAACAAACACATAATTTTAGTTTTTGTATACAGGTACATACATATTTAGGTACATAAAATATAGATTTTTATGAGTTTGTGAATGTTTGGATTCATAATTTTACCTATTCAATACTTTATGTAAATGCAAATGCCTTTATGTATTATGTAGCTCTTACCAACGAGTATGTTTCTTGTGTTAATATAGTAAGGGTCACAAACAAATATTATGTGTGCATAAGTATATAAGATCACAATCATATTAAGAAAGTGGCTATATTGAGCTACTTGTGGTACAAAAAAAAATTTAACTTTAAATTTAAACTTACCTAAATTTAAAAGTTCTTTTACTGCTTTTACTTTATGTGTACGAGTATGTATGTATGAACAACATTTATTAAATTTATATGGAATGAATGTTGTTTCATTTTTATATACAAATGCGTATGAGTGTACTCGTATATGTGGCTACGCGTGGTTTTTGATATAAAAAGTGTTTATTGTATAAAAATATATTTATTATGCTTAGATAGGTACTTTTATGAAAAGTATGTTTGCAAAAGTTAATGTTCTAATAATGCTAAATAATTTTGAATTTAAAATATTTTAGATAAATTAAAATTTTAATTGTATTAAATTAAATTAATAATATAATTTTTGTTTTATAAACATCGTTTTTTTAACGAAACATCGTTATGCATGTGTATAAAAATAATATTTAACAACGTGGAATACTTCGACTGTTAGTCTTATAAAAAGTGAAATTTTCGTTTTTTCAAAAATCTGTAACATTTTAGAATCGAATACCGTATGCAAGATGTAGATACATACATGAATATATGTACATACACATATATTGTAGTAAATCTTAATGAAATTGCAAAAATAATGGTGTACTAATGTTTAAATTTATATTAATCAAATTTTAATATTAATTTTATAAAATATAGTAGATATCCAACACACGCATACTTATGTTTACATGAATATTACAAGATAAAAAAAAATTTAAATTTTTTAAAGTGCATATCATCGCATCACAAGCCACAATTTCGTTTCTTTTGTGACCCAAATTTTTTTTATTTTATTTATTTTACCTAATTTCACTTTTTCTTGAACATCCATTTATATATGTATGGGTATGAATGTGTAAATCTATATCTATACACATTTGTATCAACTTAGTCTTAGCCAAAAGATTATAGAAATAAGATTGTAAATACATATGGTATATTTATGAATCGAGGTATTTCATGAACAAAAACCAAACAGATGTAAATATTTAATCAAGCCGTTGATACTTCTTCGAATTTTGCATGCACAAAATGTAGTAGAAAAAATTACGTATCGTATAAAGTAGCTTTTGTGAAATTGGCCGGAGAGTTCACGTACTAATACTTATTGTACTCTCATGCATCTATCAAAAATGTTGCTATTTTTTATGGGTACCAAAAAAAAAATTTTGAAATTTTGCATATGTCCCAGCTAAGCGTTATATTAAAATTATCCCACTTTATATTTGATTTTCCCTGCGTTGTATTCTTTTCTTTTCTTATAAGAATTTATTTTGTATTAATGATTTACATTAAAAATTTTAATGCCGAAGTGGAAATGATTTTATGATGTTTTTGGAAAAAATTCTATAATACTTAAATTATTCACAAGAGTAACATATGCATGTGCATTACCAAATTAACGATACATGTTATACAATGATAACGACGAAATATTTTTTTTTGAACATGTATAGTGTAGTTTCAACTTTACAGTTTAATTTTGAAAATTCAAGTTCAATTTTTGCCCTGTACTGCATGTAAAATATAAAAATATAATATGTATGTATATATAAATTGACAATCTAGCCAATTAAAAGTTGGTTAAATTTAAGTGAAATTAGATGAATCATCATTTGTCTCACAAATTATTTTCATGTTATTTTAAAATTTTGTTAGTATTTCAATTATTTCTTACAAGAAAATTTGAATTCTTACTATTACTCGTATTTTTCAATATTTGTCGTTTTGCTTTTGATACACTGCAGAACAATGTTATTTTCTGTTTCAAAGTGAAAGTGTTACCAAATTTAAATAAAATAAATGTGGAAGAAAAAGAAAAGAATATAAGATTAATTAGAATAGAGCCACAAAATACAGTAAAAACCGGTTAATTGTAAATTGAAAACATATGCTCAGTTCAATTTTTGAAAATTTTACTGATATACATAATCCAATACGAGTATGTTCGCGGAAAAAAATGCATTATACAAGTATGAATGTGTGGATGTATATATGTATGTACTCATGCATGTATAGATATGTATTAATGTATAAGAGTATGTATGTATGCATACGCTTGTATTAAATACCTAATAGTTTATACCAATTTATGTTTACATTTGAATTTATCCAAACATTCATACACTATTATTATTTATGTATGTATGTAAGTATGTTTACGTGGCAGGTGTCAAAAAAAAATAGTAGATTGTTTAAAAAAAAAATTAATATTAACAAATAATATTTTCAATATAAATTTCATCACAAACCATCCGTAAAATTTAGAATAAGATCCTAATTTATTAGTAACCTTATTTTCGTAAATGGTCAACCAAATGACGGAAAATAAAAATAAATTATATATGTATATGCATGCATATATGTTCTTATAATATATTTGCGTAGGTACGTATGTACATTGAATGGAAATAAAAAAAAAGATCGTGCTTATAGTTAATTATCTAACATGTTGCAGTTGGATAATTTTTGATAAATATATGTATGTATGTACATACATATGTATATTCATATGCATACATAATGTGTACTTGGATAACATATTATAATTACATTATATACATATGCATATAAAACAAACCTGTAATGTTTATTTTACCTTTTGTTCCCAGGAGGTAGATCCTTTGCTAAGACGGTATTTTTGAGTTATAAAATTTGTTAATTCAGTACTTTCAATTATTAATTAAGACATTCATTTAAGATATAATCAATTGACTATTAATTAAGATATTGATCTATTTTCAATTTAATTTTTATTAAATATGGTTAACAAAATTACTAGCAGGTTATTATAAAATTTAACAAAATTTATCTTGGTATTCAGAGTAAGATATTTTACTCAGGAAATGTACGGTAACATTTAGGTTATTGCGGGTTCCAAGTAATACAGTAACTGTGCCTAAAAAGAATGTTACTCTTAGTTTTTAATCCAATAAATGGACTTCGCTTAACTTCGTTTCACTTTCAATTGTATTTCAGTACTTATATGAGGAAATTTTAAGGTTTTAATATAAATATGCTTCACCTACATCTTTAAGTATAAGAGTTCTTCTAATTCGCTTTCTTGATTAATTACATCAAACTTGTTTTTGGACCGACGTCACAATTAGGAGTAGATGATTATTTGCATATTGTTTCAGTTATTTTTAATTTATTGTCAAACGTTAGGAATGTACAGTAATGTATTAACAATTAAAATTTTAAATTAAAAATTACGTACATATAGTATATAGTTTTTCCAATCTATTGAAACTAATGGTACTAGGAACTCACAAAACTCATTTACAAAATGTTTAAAATCTTTATAAAATGCTCTTTATTGTGCCCAATAAATAACTGTAATAATACTATTTTATATCGATTTCTTAAGCTTCTTGGAAATGGATTTCTTTAAAATTGAAAATATATAATATTTTCTGTTTATAAGTATATTTTGACGAAGAATAAGTTAAATAAATACAAGGCTTTTCATTTTTAATTTAATATGAGTCATGTCTTTTTCTAGAGAGAAAAGCAAATTTTTTAAAAGTTCGAATGAGTAATTAATATTATTTTTTGTAAATATTCTTAAGAATTTTTTTGTCATATTTATTTTATTAAAATGGAGTTCAAAGCAATATAATCAAGCTATGTAACGAATACATTTGCATATGCATATTCAAAAATTCACATGATCTTTAGTACAAATAGATAAAAAATTCCAATTGGTTTTCTACAGTAGAAAATTCGCCGACATTGTTCGAACTAATCAAGCAATTCTCAAAAAAATGACCCAAAATTAAAATTCATTTTATTATGGCATTGTTGAAATAAGAAGAAATCAATTTTTAAACATTTTGTGTGGGTAAAGAAGGAAACTTAATAAATATTTAATAAGACTTATTGCCTAAAATACAATGTTATAATCATTGCAATTCTATTTGAATTACACGAAATTCCCACATATTAAGTATAATATAGAGGTATATAATAATCGCCTCACAAAATTGTACATAATTTATGCAGTAGAATTTATTAAAATTTTAATTCATATCGTTTTTAATCACTATCTACTTATATAAAATATAAAATATATGTTCTTGTGTATACATACACATATAATACATCTTAATTTGCATCAGTAATCAAGATTTCTTAAGTCAAATAAATAGACAATATATTTCATCTCAACTTTATCTTTTTCTTATACATAAAATTATAAAAGTTATATTATGTTATCGTCTTTGGAAATACCTACCTTAATACAATAGAAGGAAAAAACAATAAAATTAGTCTACAAATAAAAAAAACCTGTCTTTTGATACAGCATAGGCTAGCTGTACAACGCAGCATTCATAAAAATTTTCAAGGTTTTCAACTAGTATAACGAAATGTGAAAGGTAAATTATACAATAATACAAGTAACAATATAAAAAACGAGAAAAGATAGAGCTGTGCTTGTCAACTCTCTGGTACATATGCGAATGTTTCACATACTTTCAGACGACGTACAAAATAATTCTTTCATCCAACTAGGTTTTTTTTGCAAATTGTAGACTCCCTTGCTTAACTTGTTTTTGTTAAAGTTCCTAAGTTCCAGCAAAAAATTTAGTACAGAAAAACGTAAAAATTTTGCAAGAAATTAAGAAGAATTTAAACTTTTCTGGACATTACATAGCAATGCCTTAATTAATTTTGGTTTCCTTGGCTCAAAACATTTTAAAATTATAATATAGTTTGAGCAAATGGAAAAATAGATAGCAAAGTTTATGAAATTTGAAAAAAAATTGATCATTCTTTTGATTTATTTACTCTTAGAAAAAAGTATGAATACTGTAAAAATTGTTTTGAAAATTTAGAAAACTTTCGGTTTTAGTTTAACAGAATCTGTATATCTGGTAAAACCAATCTCCTGCGATTTCACCTCTAACAGGTTTTACTGACGTACATGTTGTGAGCCTGCTGTAATTCAAAGTTGTTCCTTTTATCGTTGCAAACGAAAGAGTAAATTTATGATACCCTTTGAACTTTCCTTCAACAGCCACAAATGTGTTGAAAATATAAGAATATGATTTGAAACATACACACGAAGATATAAAAATAACCATAATACGCGAAAACGTCATGAAATTTCAAATCGAATGAAAGGTAAACTAACTAAAATCTTTATATACATACATATATACATACAAAGCAATTTGGATTAGTAGATTCACATGCATATGTATACAGGTATATAATGTATAAATGTTACAAAAACGGCAATTCGACAAATAAATAAACAAATTAAGATTCTTTCTTCATTCCAAATTAATAAATAAAAAAGCGAATACTCGTAACTGTTTTCATTTTAATTTCTTTAAACCAAGTTATTTCTAACCAATTTTTGTTTTTCGCTAATGAACTGTTTTAAGTTAGTGCATGACGATTGTCCGTAAATCAAATATTTCACTAGAAATTTTTGCATTGTTAAAAATTAAGTAATTTTTTGAGTATATACGTATGTATATAGAATATTTAATTTATTTTTTAATATTTACACTACTTAAGTATTATATACATACATACAATATGCATTGTTATAGTAAATTTAAAATGTTCATGTTTAAAATTGTTGAAAACACTGATAAAAGTTTGTTCTGCAATATTAACTGAAATATTAACGAAATTTATATATTTTATAGAGAGTCTAAAAAAGTCTTCTTACACAAATGTCAGTGTCTTTAAAAATACGGTCTTCAAACCCATATGTTGCAAAGGCAAATGTAAAAAAACATTTCTCTTTAACAATTCAAAACCGATTCTGGTTAATTTAAAGGATTAATTCGAGAAATTGTTAGTAGTTTCTATGATATAGTGGAAGTAATTTTTATCATTTCTGTGGTTATAGAATAGGTTCTAGAAATTATACCAATGAAAACATATAATCAATTACTCTTATTATCAGTTTTAAGCATTATTATTAAATAATATTATTGTGTGTATTGCCAAAGTTTATTTTGCTTCTTCCTAAATAAATACATATATGTAAACATTTTGTCAAAACATCTCAAATTCCAGTTTTCCTTTTTAATTGGCTATATATGAACATGTATACATATACAGCTTCTTTTCATCAAACAAAAACTGTTTTCTTTTACATAATTAATATTGTAACCGGTTTAAATATTATTGGAACTAAACTTTCCATAAGTACATAGCGCATATTATATAAATGTACCAAGTATTGTATATGTATTATTATTAATCTATATTTTATATTGAAAATCTCTGGTTGTCAAAACGCATTCTTATAAAAATGAAAAAAAAAAATTTTTACTAAAAAATGTTTTCGCTTTAATAATATGCACATAAGATCTCATTTTATGAACAATATATACTTACATATTTTACATGTAGCAGTATATCCATAGGTAGATTGTAGGTTGTTGATAAATTTTTACCTTTCTTATTCTTGTGACTTTTTTAGTTCCAATTCCTAATCGAATATATTAACTAGTGTTAAAATATTGAAAATCATCTTGTTTTATGAAATATTTATATATACATATGTAATTTTTAGTTATAAAAGTGAGTGTAATAGACAGTTTATTAATAAATTCTGAAAAAAAAAAAAATATTTCTTTAACAAATCCAATGTTAATTCACTATTAATTACAGTTCAATTTAATAATTCTACATACATATGTAAGTTAAGTTCTAGTTATGAAATGCAGGCGGAAAATAATACTTTTATTATTGCATATATGTACATGCCTTCATGTTATGGGGAATTTCCCATAATAATTTCGTATTTCTAGTTATCTAATTTTATTTTAATAAAACTTGATTGTTAGAATTATTTACATAAATTTGTTCTAAGAATCATTTGATCATTTTTTTTATTATTAAAATAATAATATTCCACATTAGGTATAAGTTTGCTTACTTACTTAAAACTTCAGCTAAGCAACGGGTAAAAAATTTGTTAAAATATAGAAAATCCCAAGCGATTTCTGATTAAGAATATTAAAATTTGATTTGTGATTTATAATTTTTAGGTAATTAGAAATTTCTTAAAGTATTACATTAATTTTTAAGTTAAATTAAATAATTTATATACTAGTGCATCATTATCACTGAAAATTGCTTTTAATTTAATTTGATTTATATAAGTAAATTTAAATTAAAATAAACATAATTTTCAAGTGGAGCATAATAATTAAATTTGTAAAGTGATAAATTATAATTTCTTATTATTTTTAAGTTTTAATTTTTTTTAAGTTTTTTAAGATATTATTTTGTAGGTTATAAAAAAATTTCTAAAAGTTGTCACATACGTATATATGTACTTGTTAATATGTGAGTCTGTAAAAAATTATTTTAATATTATGTGTGTAATTTAAATACATTTCTATTTTACTTTTGGAAAATACAAAATATCTCTACAAATCTCTAAATATTTGTGTATGTACTGGCATATTATGTTATTCTAATTACATAGTATACATGTTTTAAGGTTGGAAATAGATTATTTATTAATTTATATTATGCCGCAAGAAAATTTTTATTATACTTATATTAAATATAATAGAATTATTAATGAAATAATAAAATATATTATTTTTTAGTGTGTATGTAAATTAATTAAAAAATTAAAATTATTTTGAATTATGCTTTAGGCTTTGAAAATGGAAATCACAAGAATTATGTCGAATACAATAACAATACGATGGGCTATAATTTTAATTACAACTATTATTGGTCTTCTTGCATTGGTAAATGCCAAAACAGGTATGTATTACTAAAAAAAAATGAAGAATAAAGTAGGATGTAAAATATAACGTAATGCAATAAGCACATTTTTATTATTATTATAAAGAAATTTTAAAGTTAGGGTTTTACTTATATGTACATATGTATTTTCATTTCTATGTATATGTTTTATAGCATAATAATTAAAAACTCATAAAAAGTTGTTATAATGTATGTTTAATGTCAAATGATTCCTGACGATCGTTATATAGTCCAAAACAATTCATGTATTAAGTCATTCTCATTTAAGTATGTGTTTTAAATAATTCTGGCTGAAATTCTCAACAAGGAGTAAAATTCTCAGATTATACAAAATCTCCATTGAATTTGAATTTACATAATTATATATGTATCTTAATTGAAAGCATGTGCATTATTGCAAAAGTAAAGGTTCAAATTAATTTTTTAAAATCATGTAGCTATTTACTTATATATATACCACTATTTAAAATGTTAATTTTGATAAGCTATGTAAAATTCTTTTTATAAGTGTAGTTCCGAAATGTACATATTTTGTAGATGCAGTGCAGTTATAAAAAATACCATAAAATTTGTTTTTTTGTTATTTCGAATAACAAAAAATTAACAATACTTTTAAAAACGGTTTTAGTAGATAGGTATTGTAAGTTTTAAGTTTAATACATATATGTATATGTACAAATATATACCAGACAAATTCGTCACCATTTATTTAAAAGATTCAATAAAATGCTTGAATGAGTGCATTAATTGCCAAAATTTCCTAAAAAATATAGTAATAAATTAAAAACTTTATACTGACATGTTTCATAACTTCATATACACTTTCCATAAAATAAATTTAATAAATAATATCTAATTATAACAATTATTTTTTTATATTTTCAATTTTATTAAAAATTGACAATCTTTAAGCCTTAAAAAATTTAAAATCTTAAAATTACATTAACACATCATAATATGATTAACATAATTTGTTAACACAATTGTTAACATAATAAAATTTATTGAAAAACTAATAATATTCAACATCAATTACGGAATCCTAGACGTGTACTGAAATTAAGTATAAAATAGATTACTGACAAATCTATCAGATGATCAAGCAATTGGTAACATGAAAGTCTTTCTCAAGTAGTTCTAAAACCGTAGGCATTTATACCGAAGATTCCTTAACTTTTGCCTTAAAAATTTGAATAGAATTTTCTTGGCGTGTTTAAAATTATTTGTAATTCCTTACAGATTATATTAAATTTCCATGATATTTAAATTTGAACAATTATATATCTTAATTGGAAGCATGTGTATTATTGCAAAAGTTAAATTTTACATGTACATAGTATAAATTAAAAAAAATAAAAAAAAATAAATAAAATTTACATATTTACTTAAATATTTTAAATTTTTTTTTGAAGGGCCAACACATGATAAAGTTGTTGTTTGTTATATAGCAACATGGGCAGTTTATAGACCTGGTAAAGGATCATATGCAATAGAAAATTTCGATCCAAATTTATGTACACACGTTGTATATGCATTTGCTGGCTTAGACATTACAAAAGATGCCATCAAATCCTTAGGTAAGATTGATTTAAATTTAAGTAAGAGGTTACGTTCTAATTACTTACTTCGACAAACATATATATGTGTATGTTATACTCTTCTTTTAAATTAAAAACATAAGTAAGGTTTTCTTATATTAATTTTTGAAATTTTATACATATTGTACTTTATATATAATTTAACAAAAATGCTTGTAACCTTTCATAATCGAAGTAATTCGAATCAATATATTATATAGATTGGATATTTTCAACTGATTTGTCATAATGTCGATTATGATAAAATTCATTGACTTTACATAGGAACCGTAAAAAGGGCTGTTAATGAAAAACTAATCCATTCAACTTAGGTACTAACAATTTCGATTTTTTTATATGTAAAACAAGTACTTATTTTAAAATTTATTTGAAAAAATAATCACTTCAAAAAAATTAGATTTGATTTAAGGATTTATTCTGTGTAAACCAAGTTTTTTAATACGAATGTTTTGTAGAGTTATTTTAGATCGCTGATCTATACCAAATGAGCTAGATATCCGTTTTGAAAATAAATATTAACGTTGTGTTAGCGAGTAGAAGTTATCAAGAATAAGTTAAGTAGAGGAGACCATTTGAATGAACAATTTTGTTGAATAAATTCTTAAAATCTTTTACATACAAATTTTCGAATCAGCATTAGTTGTTGAAAATTAGTGTAATTAAAATAATAAAACAAAATGAGTACCGGAATGGATTAAATTGCAAAGAAAGAAAAATAGTTAAATGTATACACATGTATGTGTGTATGTGTATAATTCTGAATTCTCCCATTTTGACTTTTATAATAATTATGAAGTTTCTTTTCATATTTTTTTTGTTGTCATTAAACTAACGAATTGAAATTGAAAAAGCTGGAGAAGAGTCAAGAAACTTATAAAAAAACAGTTAATAAATTGTTGAGAAACAATTCGTTTTCATTTTGAAATTAAGAAAAAAATTATTAGAATACATTTATTTATACGAGCATGTACTTTGAACTAGGCGTATTACAAAATTTCATCGGAAGTTGACACGATCGAGTGATGATGTACATTCTTGCATGTATGTCATATATTACGTACATACGAGTATATGCACATAAATTTTAAAGTTTTTTGCAAAACACATTCTGTTTTCTAAATCGCAGTAAATGCAACTATGGATTTGTCAGGCGAAGAAAGTAATTTGACACAAAGCTTCTTTATTAATTTTTTTTAATTAAAGTTTTTTCAAGTGATTTGCAGAGTTTTGGCTGTTTTACTTAACGTCAAAGTTTTGCAGTATTTTTGGTAATTTATTTAAATCATTTAAAATTTTAATATTCTTAATTAATTTTTGTTATTAAGAAGTTATGAAAACTCATGCTATTTCACAACTACCAGCCATCTCGCAAAAAGAATAATTTGACGGTTCTTATCAGTCACATAATAGTGTAATCGTTAAAATGTAAAATATGGTTTTGAAATTAAGTCTTCCAACTTAGTTTTTTTACTTTTAATTTTTTGTTAAACCTAAAAATAGCATCTTCTTTTACTATAATAATAAAATAAGCTAAAAATTTTTAACATGTGGAACATCAACTTTTCTCTGTTATTTAATGCACAATAGAGAAAATTTTAAATAACACATAATTGGCTGATTTCGTTGAATTAAAATTTCAGTCATAAGTTTTTATTATACTTGTTTGTAACTTTAGAAATTTTGGTTGAAATTAAAATTAAAACTGAGTACTTTAGATCATAACAAAAACGGATAATGAGTCATTCAAGACTTTTGATTCAATTACATATTTGAATGTGTTTGCATACGTTTGTATATAATTATACACACATACATAAATATCACATGGGTGTAAAAGATACACATACCGTATATTTATGTAACAATAGTAAAGTTGAGGTGCTTTGTTTATTGACCTTTTTTTCCTGTTTAAGATTCTCTTTGTCGCTTTTTCTACTTTTGGTGTTTTAATTTCGTTTTTACTTAAATCGTACCAATTCATTGTTATGGGTAAAGGAAATGTTATTTACCTGTACATGTAAATACACATATGATATAGATAAAGAAATTTGATATTTTTGGGAAATAATTAGACTTTTTTGATTGAACCAAGTTAATATAGAAATTATTTTAATTTTGAGCATGGATAGGGGATAGGAAAAAAGAAAATATCGCTTTAAATTAAGAGCCTGTTACATATGAGATACTAGTATAAGAATTTACTGATACTGACAGGCATTTGCATTTTTGCGTGTAATATAGTAAGCTAATAAATGTCTAATAATTTTTTAGTGGTTTGATTGCATTAAGTTTTTCTTCCATTGAAGTATATTTGTTTTTATGGAAATTTTCTTAGATATTAGATTTGAAAAATGATGGCCTTTAAATAATTTGTTTGCTTCAAAATTTGTTTGCCATGTTTTGCTTCAAAAATTTGTTCCTCCTCATATTCTTTATACACGCTTTCAGTTACACTTGTGAGGCTCTTTAAATTGTAAATTTTCTCATATTTTTATAAAAGCAAAAAACTAAAAATAAAAGTAATGGAATCAAGAAATATAATTATTTATCCCAATTCACCTATAATTCGTCATTGGATTTGACCAATTTGTTAACACATCTTAACATTTTTGTACTAACGCTAAAAATATGTAATAATTACTTATAGGATCATTTACTTAAATTTTCATTTGGTACCTTAACTAAAATAACTTAAACGCAAACGTTGCTGATAAAATTTTTTAGCCGCTTTTCGCAAAATTATTTTAAAAATCATTGTAAAAGTTGTGTATTAGACTTTTAAATGCAGTAACTGGTATCAAAGTTATAAACCTTATTAAGATATATAATACTCCTCAAAAATTTTATGTAGTTAAAAAGAGCAAACACTTATACATAAGCAAACAAAAAATCGAAGAAAAAGACAACCACTATAAAAGTAGAAATATAACAAGCAAACACTCTTAGTAAATATTTAATTTCAATTTGTTTCCGATCCACAATAATGGTATGATAACAATAATTGTTGTGTATTTAGTTAATTTTTAAACAGCTAAGCTCAATGAAAACTAAAATCAAAAAGAATAAATATTAAAAGAAATTATAAAAATTAAAACCAATTTTCAGACGACAATACCATTGTATTAAATATATATGAGGTGTACGTATTTGTATACCGCTTGAAATATCATTAAATATGGGAGGAAATAACCCTCTTGGCTTTTTATTATCATTATATGGTGTAACTTGTAGTAGTTATAGTTATAATTAAGCAAATGAAGAAAAAAATTACAGGGAAATTTAATATTTTGTTATTTTTTTTTGCTGTAAGATAAAAATAACTATAGATAGAGTTATTTTTATTATGGTTAGTGAGAAAGACGGATGGATAACCGCTGACTTATCCATACATATTAAGGTTTGCTCACGTGTTAGATTATTATAAGAGTTGCATGGATATAGAAAGAAGGGAAAATTTATTTGTAATTATAAAAGTTTTCTTAAGCCGATGGGAAAATTCTTTGCAAAATATATTGAATTCCTATACCTTCTGTTGTTGTAAGTTTTCTTTTCTTCATTAATTTTCAATTTATTTATATGAAATTTAAATGGCTTAAAATGGGTAATTTATATAACAGTATTTAATTAAATTATTAAACAAATGATTTAAATGAAGTAAGCGTAACTTTATTAAATGCATTTAATTTGCAATTGATCGAAAATCAATGATACAAAAGTGGCATTATTTAAGTGAATGAATTAGTTTTGAATGAAGTAGTCATAAAAACTATATACAGTGTTTTATATTGAGTTGTTATAATATACAAGAACTAACAGATTTTATAGTTTAGAGCCCTATTACTATTAATTGCTATTAAGCAATTTACAAAGTTTCTGTTGAGTCGAAAGTCAAAATAAATTCTTATATAAACATTTTTAATTAAAATATTTTACTTTTAATTACCTTGCCTTCATAGTAATGGAAAAATTTGCATGTTGAAATTATCTGAAATTGTGTTCAAGAACTTTATAGGATAACTTTTTCTAAGGTTTTTTCTAAGGACTTGCTTTAAAGAAAAAATAAAAGCTTTTAAAAAAACAACAAAAGGAATGAGTAGGAGCCACATGAAAATGCTTTCAAGTCTCTGAACGGGACACTTCCAACTTAATTTATTTTAAGGGATAGAAAGTAAATTGAAATTCAGTATTAGCTTTATGGAAGAATTCGGAGCATTTACATTATAGAAAATAAAAGCAATAAGGGTTTGAAGAGGTTCATAAGTAACATTTGTATTTTTTCGAGAAATGAGCATTGCTATATTTTGATTTTAGGGAGTTAACATCTCTATATTCAATATTGTGAATTTTTGATTCCGTCAGAAAGCAAATGTCGAAAAATTAATTTTTTTTTTTGAAAAATGCGTGTAATGTTTGAATGGCGTTCAATTTTTGGACGGAAAAATATACTTATATAATAAAGCTTAATATATTAACCCCTTAAATTCTTTTTATTCTTAGTTCCAAAAAAATTATATATTAATTTGTCTTGAATTTAATAATTTTGATCGCATTTTTGAAAAATAAAGACAAATTAATAAGCCTAAATATTACAAGTTGTTTAATTGCTATGTAGAAATTCTATTAACATTTTCGCGTTTTTTTTTCAATTTTATTTCGAAATTTTTATCGTATTCATTTACAATAAAAGTGTGTGTATAATATACGTCCATAATTGGTGTCATAAATCATGGGTTGAATTCTTAAATATACATATATATACGTAAATAATTTTTGAAGGTAAAATAATTTTTGTACTTAAAAAATTTTGAAAAATTAATTTTATAAATTTGTTGATTTAAAATATTTTGATTTACAAAAATCAGGTAGTTAACCTTATTGTATTAATTATAATTAAATAAAATTATTGGCTTCTATTTTAGACTTGCGACTATTTGTATGTATAGGTTGTAGATGAAATGATTGTAGGTTTTGAAGTATTT